TAAAGTGGATAAACGAGATGAATAAACGAGATGATACCTCCCGCCTACCAGCCATTTGGAAACCTGCCCTTATTGACAAATGAGTCCCTAACACAAAGAATGACACCAGACCCACACTCACGAAAACCACACAGGATGTCACCACCACAGATCCATGCAAAAAGCAAACCCAAACCCATACCGATGATGAAGCACAACCACAAACCAGAAGCCAGATCACAGCTGCATCATTAGCCACTTTAAACCAATCAGGTCCGATGACGAGATCTAGGAGTCAGGTGCACTCAAACTGCTCTCATTACTTTAAAATAAGAATACTTTACTAAAAATATACTTATACTAAAAAGTTGCCAAATGAGATGAGAGTATAATGAGAGCGATTTGAGTGCCAAACAATGGGAGGGAACGGATGTAAGGAGGACTGGGGTGGGGAATAAAGACATGATTGCTGAGGCATACCATACTCGGATAAGAGCTGTTGACACGACAAAGGAGGAGAGAGGTATACAATTGGGAAGGGATATTAACCCACAGTTAGTGGAACCCTATCCCCATCACAAGACACAAGAAAACATCAGATTGAATCCTCCCCCCGATACGGCAGGCGTTGGTATTATCAGAAGAGGAGGGGATGCAAGGTTACTAACGCCTCCAAAGACCAATAGTGGAGGGATAGGGAAGGGCATCCGAAGAAAAGAACATAACGTTATAGATACATCTTGGTTATTAGCTGGCCAATCAGGGCCAGTAACACGGTCTAGGAGCCGTGCGCAAATGTTACTTGAACCTACTTAAACCACCTTTATTGGGTTTTCTCCCGCGTAAAATTGGAAGTGTCTTGGCAACGTTTCGACGAAGTCCCATTCGTCATCTTCAGGCTGGTGTTTTCAGCTTCGTGCTTTGAGGAGCAATGTGTGGTCTTAGCTGTTTCTTCCTTTTAACTGCCAGTGGGGGTATGAACTGATTGGGTGGGAGCTTGGCTGTGTTCTGATTGGGTGGAGGTGTGTTCTGATTGGTTAGGGGCTTGGCTGTGCTCTGATTGCCTGGGGGGGTTGGCTGTGCTCTGATTGCCTGGGGGGGGTTGGCTGTGCTCTGATTGCCTGGGGGGTTGGCTGTGCTCTGATTGCCTGGGGGAGTGTTCTGTTTGGTTGTGCTCAGGTTAGTCTGAGTTGCAGGGGGGTTTAAGATTTTGGGTTGCCTTGCTATTTTTTGGCTTCGCGTTCGTGGTCGTGCCTCATCTTCATGGAGGGTGTCAGTTTGCTTCATGTATGGATTGGAGGGGTTTAAAGTGGCTAATGATGCAGCTGTGGTCTGGCTTCTGGTTTGTGGTCGTGCCTCATCATCGGTGTGGCTTTGGGTTTGCTTTTTTGCGTGGATGTGTGGTGGTGACATCCTGTGTGATTTTTGTGAGTGTGGGTCTGGTATCATTTTTTGTGTTAGGGAGTCGTTTGTCAATAAGGGCGGGTTTCCAAATGGCTGGTAGGCGGGAGGTATCATCTCGCTTGTTCATGCTGTGTGGGCGTTTTTCTATCTCGATGGCTTCTCTGATTATTCTGTTATTAAAATGTTCACTTTTGGCAATGGTTCTGGTATTTTTAAAGTCAATTTCATGTCCTGTGGCTTTAAGGTGTTGGACCAGGGAAGATGTTGGTTCCTCTTTTTTGACTGAGTTCTTATGTTCTTCAATGCGTGCACTTATTCTTCTGTTGGTTTGTCCGATGTATGTGGTTGGGACAAGCAGTGCATGGGATTTCATATACTCCTTGATTTTCTAACTCAATTTTATCTTTGGGGTTTCTAAGGATGGTGGATATTTTTCTGTTTGTGCAGAATGATGTTTTGATGTTGTGTTTATGGAGGATCTTACTGATTCTGTCTGTGGTGCCTTTTATGTATGGGAGGAGGGCTTTGCCGTTTTCTTGTTCTTTGTCTTGGATTTTAGTGGGGGTTTCTTTTTGGATTAGGTTTGTAATCTTATTTCTTTGGAATCCATTGGATGTTAGTACATTGGTGAGAGTGTGTAGTTCGGGTTTTAGGTGTTGTTCGTCAGCTAAGCGTTTTGTTCTGGAGATGAGTGTCTTGGCTACGGAGTTGATCTGTGCTGGGTGGTGGTGTGAGAAAGTGTGCAGATAGCGGTTTGTGTGTGTTTTCTTCTGGTAGATGGTGTGTCCTAGGGAGCCATTGGATTTCTTGTAGACTAAGACATCCAGGAAGGGAAGTTGGTTGTTAGCTTCTGTTTCCATGGTGAACTGTATTTTGGGGTGTAGGCTGTTGAGGTGTGTGAGGAAGTTGTCCAGTTTTTCTTTCCCATGTGGCCAGATTATGAAGGTGTCGTCTACGTATCTGAGCCAGAGTTTGGGTTTGTGATCTGATTTTTCTAGAGCTTGGGTTTCAAAGTGTTCCATGTAGAGGTTGGCAATGACAGGTGAGAGGGGTGATCCCATGGGTGCTCCTTCTGTTTGTTTGTATTTTTGTCCATTATAGATGAAGTATGTGTTGGATAGGCAGTGGTTGGTCAGATCTAAGATGTGTTTGGGGGGGGTTTATATATATATATATGTTTTCTGAGGTTTTCGCGGGTGTTTGTATGTAGGTCTTTGGTTATTCGGGTTTTCTCCCACGTAAAATTGGAAGTGCTCCTAGAAGCACGAAACTGAAAGCACCAGCCTGAAGATGACGAACGGGACTTCGTCGAAATGTCGCCAAGACACTTCCAATTTTACACGGGAGAAAACCCGAATAACCAAAGACCTACATACAAACACCCGCAAAAACCTCAGAAAACATATATAATCATATATATATATGTAGGTCTTTGGTTATTCAGGTTTTCTCCCACGTAAAGTTGGAAGTGTATATATACTATATATATATATATATATATATATATATATATATATATATAGAGAGAGAGAGAGAGAGAGAGAGAGAGAGAGAGAGAGAGAGATGCCAGATGGAACGATGGGAAGTGGAAGAGACTCTGGGTAAGAGAAAAATGAATATGAAAATGATTGCTACAAAAATGGAGAATGAGAAATCTGTAATGCATATAGAAAGACAAGTATTGTGCAAAAATGTAGGAAAAAAAGACCAATAAACAATTAAGATTAAAAAACAAAGAAAAAATACAATGTAGTTTTAACAGAAAAACAAATTGTTTCAGAAGAAGGCGAAGAGACTAAATAATTTTAACAAAATTAAAAATAAAAGTAATAATAATAATAAAGTTGGACGGAACTTTGGAGGTCATCTAGTCCAGGACTTTTCAACCAATGGTACGGGTACCACCTGTGGTCCATGGGCACCTGGCAGGTGGTATGCAACCATTCTAGAAAAGTAGTAGTGGGGGAGGGGAATGAGCTGAACCGGTGGCAGCACCGCACAAGCCTGAGCGAGAGATGGCTGGAGCTGCAGGGCTGTCAGGGCTCAGAGGAAGTGCCAGGATCAGCGCCAGGATCCAGCTGGAACTTGGCGCTGATCCTGGCACTTCTGCTGAGCCCAGAAGAAGTGCCGATCAGCTGGAATGTTGCAGCATCTCCAGGGTCTTGTGATTTACATTCAGATGCTTGGCAACTGATTCATATTTATGATGGTCACAGTGTCCCAGGGTCATGTGAAGTGACCAAAACCTGCTGCAACCACCCAGCAGACAGGGGGAATAAAAACCAAACACTCTCACCCCACCCCCGCTGCTCACAACAATTAAAACCTTGGACAGGAGGAAGAGTGCCACTGGGTGGGCAGGCAGGTATCTTGCTCGGCAGTGGCTTGGGGGCACTTTTTTCAGTGCCATTGTAACTTCAAACGTCACTAATTGAACTGTTGTAAGTTGAGACTACTTGTACTTTATCATTTTTTTTCTTTTTTTTTTGGGTCATCAAGTTTTTGACACCCTGCTAGGCGACTGGTGGTACTCGGATGTTGACATATCCTAAAAGTGGTACAATGGTACAGTGGTACAATCTAGTTCAACCCCCTGCTCAGGCAGAAAACCCTATACTATTTCGGACAAATGGCTGTCCAGTCTCTTCTTAAAAACTTTGAGACAAAATTTAAGCGAAGGACAGTAGAAGGAATATTTCCAAGATTTGTATGCAGCGATACAATGAAGAGTAGCATTGGAGATGAACACTGTGCATGTTGGCATCCAAGAAAAGGCTGCCGTCAAGAAGGTCATTGCTACAAGGATTTTGAAAAGCGGGAAGGCTGCAAGTGTAGCAGGAGAAACGTGGCTGGCCTGCGGAGGCCTTGTGCTCCTTGTCTGGGTGAAGGCAGCATCTAATGGCTGTTGGTTGAAAGGACGGGATTGTTGTTCCTCTACACAGAGGGAAAGACTCTGTTCCCCACAAGGAAAGTGAGTTCAGAGATCGTCTATGTTGAAATCCAGCATCCTTCTCTCTTTTTTGCTTTCTTTCATACCCATATAGATTCACACATACAATTATGGACAATACCCAGAAGTGCCCTTGCACCATCTCCAGGCCATGAGTCACACCACCTTCTCCTGCCTGGTTCCATATTGCGCAACCAAATGCCTCGCGGACAAGGCTGGAGCAAGGCCTCGCCAGGGCTCTCCGAGCTCTGCTCTAGCCACAACCAGGATCGCTCACGGATGAGCACTGACCCGGGCACATACTCGCACCCCAGGCCAACTCCCCATCCAGCGAAGTGCTTGAGAAGGAGGAGCAGCTGAATCCCAAGCATCTGGAGCATGGTCAGCTTCAGTCCTCCCAGAGTCCACCAGTGGGGTGGCCCACATGTGCTGGACCCCATGAGTCCCTTTGGGCAGAGCTCAGAATCACCCATCAAACCGAGGTGTGGCTGGGCCAACTGTGCAGTGCAAGCTGGGAGATCTGCCCCAAGAACCTCCAAACTTGGCCATTTCCCCCGAGATGCCCAGAGAGGAGGCATCCCCTGCAGGACCCTGCCCTGGCACAGTCAAGCTTGTACCCTGCAAGAACGCCTCTCTCGGTCAGCTGCAGCGGGCACCTGTGACTCACCGGAAGTGGAGCCTACGGGGCTTGGAGAGCAGACCTGGAATCGGGGAGGGCTGTGCCCCCGTGGCGTGGAAGCCATGACTCCTCCCCCTGGTGGAGAAGGGGGCGGTGGAGGATACTGTGTGGTGAGCTGGGCTGTGAGGCCAGATGGATGTCGTTGTCGAATGCCCAGTCGCAGGATGGTGCTCGGGGAACTTTGGGATTGGTCCAAGTTGGAAGCGTCAAGGAAGGCCTGGTTCAATAAAGGTTCTGTGGGGAGGACAAACAGGGAAGCCTGGGTCAGCCTCCCGTTGCTGAGGGGAAAGAACCGCCCCGCAGCCCTATATCCTTCATGGATTTCCACCCATCCTTCTTTGATGGGATGCAGGGGGTGGGTGGAGAAATAGGCCCCCAGGTCTCTCTGCACATGCTTCCTCAAGTGGACCTTGGCCCTACCAGCATCCACCATGGTGGGGGGTGGGGGGCTTGGAGATATGGAAGTTCTCATAGCAATCCATGGAGGGTCTCCACCTGGATCGCGCTTGGGTGAGTGGGGATAACCTTGGGCTGAGGCAGATGGTGGTGGAGGCCACCATTGCTGGTGTTGCTCTCCTGGTCATTCTTTTGCTGCCGTTTGAGGAACAGCCAAAACCAGGGGACACGGGACCTCTTCGTCTCCCGGCCAAGGTCTGCCCCAGCTGCCCTGACCCCCTGGGACACTGCTGCAGCTCAGTACTGAGTGGATGCGCAGAGACTCCGGGTTGGGGCCCAGGGCAGCCTGGGGACTCTTATTTGGTTAGAGTCAAGGGCATGCCACATCCCCCCCCCCGCGCATGCCACCTTGCTGGTCCAGCCGGGTGGATTCAAAGTTCGGCAGCAGGTTCCTCTCATTGAATTGGTCGTGAAGGACGGACTTGAGCTCCTGGTTCTCACGTAGGAGGAGCACCAGCTGTTTTAGCTCCTCGTTCTCAGCCACAAGGGCCTTGATTTCCTTTCTCAATGCCTCATAGCGGGTGAAGATAGCCATCCCCTTAAAAGTGCTGTGAAGTGGGGAGACTCTGCTGCCTCAGGTGCCCCAAAAGAATGACATTCAGAGGGCCATGTGGGAGCCCCAGCTGCCAAGAGCTCCCCTCTCCTGTCCACTGCTGGGCTGGTAGGTGGCAGCTTGGACAGTTGTCAGTGATCCAAGCAGCCTTTGTGATGCGGCCAGGTGGGGGAGGGAAGGAACTGGAAGGTGAGGGGGGGCACTGGACTCTGCTCCAGAGGAGAAAGGAGCTGCTGGGAGGGCCTGGAGGACCCTGACCCAGCCAGGGGGGACCCTTGCTGGCCCAAGGGTGGTGCCTGGTTCTAGCCAGCTGCTCCCACAATGAAGAGGAGGGGGGCTTCTGCAAGGTGGTACTCGGATGTTGCCATATCCTAAAAGTGGTACAATGGGTGAAAAGTTTGAAAAGCCTTGGACTAGAAGATCTCCAAGATCCTTTCCAATTCTATTATTATTATTGTTGTTGTTGTTGTTGTTGTTGTTGTTACTGTTACTATTATTATGGGGTTGGCCATGAGGGTGTGGAACACTGACCTCTTTCTCCAGCCTGCCAGCCTGCTGACGAGGGTCTCTGCCCCTTCTGGCAAGAGACGAGGTTTGGTGCCCTAGAAAGAGGCAAGTGGGTGCTGAGCCCGGCCCTGGGGGAGGCCCTTCTGGCCGGCTCCCTTCCAACCGTGGCCCGATTGTGAGGGGCAAAACCCAGAATGCAGATGCTGCTCATGGCCCACGAACTGCCCTACACAGGCGCAACCCAAGCCATCCAGACTGTACTACTTCAAAGCTTTATTTAAAATGCAGACAGCCTGGCTTCATGCAGGAGCTTGGTTGAAAACGGCTAAAGGGACTCCTGTCCCTTCGGGTCCACTGGGTCTCACTCGGACTGGTCCAGAGATGAGATGCACACCTCCAGCAGGGCACCTGGATGGTCCTGGGAACCTTCAGTAAGCAGCCAAACATTCTGGGCCATCTGTGACTTGCCCATTATCATATTTAGGCTTCCTCTGGACAAGAAGCCTTCTTCCCCTTCCTCCTGCTCCCCCCTCTGCCCCCCCATTTAGAAGTGATATTGCAAAAAGTTCACTTGTTGGCCAATGGAAAAAGAAGATCCAGTTTGGTCAAATGGGGGCGAATATCTGTGGCTTGGGTGGAGGATGAGGGTGGAGGTCCGTTGTCTGAGTTTGTGGGTTGGTTTCTGAACATTTCGTTACCAGGTTAGATAACACCTTCAATGCAGCTGAAGAGGTTACCTAGCCTGGTAATGAAATGAAATGGTCGGAAACCAACCCACACGCTCGGAGAACAGACCTTCACCCTCACCTGGCCAGCTGTCGGTGCTCTGAAAACTAAGCAGCGTCCGCCTTGCTGCCCCACAGCTGTGGGCTGGAGAGAAGCCCCCAGTGTGTCCCATGGGTGGGTTGGGGAGCTGGGTCTTGTTGCACGGACCCTCACGGAGGCCGTGCAAGTTGAGTTACGCCGGAGAAGACTCAGGGGAGGGTCCACAGAGCTTTGCCTGGAAGAGAAAATGGTGCCCCTTTCCCAGCTCAGAGAAGACCGGAAGTGCCAGTTGTGGAGAGAGTTGTATCTGCTCATGCTGGAGGCTCTGGAGCCAGGCAGGGGTGAAGGGACAAGGCCATGGGGGGGGGGGCACGGAGGAATGTGCCTCTCACACATACCCGGCATCTCTCTACAGCCATGGAGTCCCCAACAGGTGCAGCAAAGCCCCACCTTTTGGCTGGGGAAGGGGGAGAATATTTGGGGGAGGGGAAGGAACCTGCCAGCAACTTTGCCCCCTCAGCTTCTTCCCTGCCAAGTGCTGCCAGATTGGGCGAGCTGCCAATGAGGGGATCCATTTCATAGCTTGACAGGTGTTTCCTCACAGGTGGGCATCCCACCTTCATTCTTTGGGGGCTCTTAGAAATTAATGTAAAGACACCCCCCCCTCTTTGCAGCAGGTGATCTCCCTCCATGCACGTTGTTCATCCATCTCATTAGCCACATTAGAACTGCCGGTGGTGTGTGGGAAGAGGACTGGCCAGGTCAAGTCAGGCAGGGAACATCCTGGCACACCTTGGGCAAACGGGCAGACCCTGCAGGGGTGGCACCGATGGCTCCAGGCTTGCACAGCTTGTTCTTCTGCAGCAGACCCTTTACTTCATCAGCTTGACAGCCTTCATGGATGGGGCCACTCCAGGCAGAGCGATTTTGTGCCAGTGTTTCTCCGATGGTTGTGCCCATGTCCAGCGAGTTCCAGAAGGCCTTTAATGTATCTTTGCAATGTTTCACCTGCCTTCCACGCGACCATTTTCCAACCAAGCTCCTCTAGGTGCTCAGGGATGTGCTTGTTTGGCACACAGATGACATTGTCTGCCCCTCCCCCCCGTCTAAAGAGGTTTAGAAGCTAAAAGATATGTAAAACAGGAATTGGGTATGTCTAGATCAAGGATAGGCAACCTTGGCTCTTTTATGACTCGTGGACTTCAACTCCCAGATGGTTGCTTACCCTGAGTCTAGTCTAAAGAAATGGGACAGGGTGACATGATAGCTGTTTTTCGATATTTGAGGGGCTGCCGTAGATAAGGGGGGGGGCTCAACCTCTTCTCCAAAGCACCTGAAGGCAGGACAAGAAACGAATGGAGGCTAAGCAAGGAGAGAAGCAACCTAGAATTAAGGAACTTAGTCCTGTCAGTAAGGACAATTGATCAGTAGGACAGCTTCCCTCCAGAAGTGGTGGATGCTACATCTCTGGAGGGTTTTAAGAAGAGATTGGACACCCATTTGTCTGGAAAGGTACAGGGTCTCCTGCTTGAGCAGGGGGCTGGACTAGAAGACCTCCAAGGTCCCTTCTAACTGTATTGTCAGTCCCCAAATCCTTATTGTCTTCCTTGCATATATATTCTTGTGCTCTTGTTTTGGGGCCTGCCATTCTGCTAGGGGGAGGGAGGATAATTGCTTTCACTTGAGATAACTTTTGCTTTCTACTTTTCCTTTCCCGCCTCTATCCACTTGAGAAAGCCGTGGTGGCATGCAGAGCCCTCTCTGTGGGCACACGTGCCATCACCCCAGTCCTAGGCCTTCAGCTGGGTTTTATAAAACCTTTTCGCTTTAGGCCTCCGCCACCATGTGCAAAAAAAAGGTTCAATCAATCAGTCAATTTCAACTTCTCATGGGGAAAAAAAAAAGATCTCACAAAGTTGGAATTGATTGAATTTTTTAGTCCCACCCAGTCTGCCATTATCACCACAGCCACACCCACCCCATGGGCCACGCCCACCCAGCACCCGACGATACATAAGTGGGTTTTGGGTTGCAGTTTGGGCACTCGGTCTCTAAAAGGTTCGCCATCACTGTGGGAAACGAATATGTCTCCCTTATCAGGGAGACGGTTGCGGAGAAACAAAACTGGAGACCTTGAGATGTGCGCCAACTATGCCAGTTACCCGAACATCGTGCCACCTGTGGATTGGTTAGATTTCAAATGGACATTATGACTCTGGTGGGAGGAGGAATATCGCTGGTTTAACTATATTGTTTAAATGGGATTTTCCCCAGATCTCGCCTTGACTTCCCTACTGTCACTGACCCCTAATAAAAGTTCCTTTTGAGACAATGCCTGTTTCAAGAGACCTGCTTCCTTGGGTGGTTGACTGAGGTGGGTCCTTACAGTTATTCTGCTATCTGTCGGTGTGGACTGAGGGCAGATCTTCTCTAGCACGTCAATGTCTGGAACCTTATCTGCCCATTCGGTGCCCAACACTCTGCCAAGACGTGTCCCACGTAAATGCTTGAGCTGTCCTTCAAGACACACATTTCACAAGCGGGAAGAAGGGTAGAGGGCATCGAGCTCTCTGTAGACCTTCAGTTTTGGTTGCTGGTCTAATGGGGTGCAGTTCTATTGGAAGCAAAACTCGCCTTTGCTCTTTTGCAGTGGACGTCTGGGCTGGTGGTCACTGGAGACATGCTGCCTAAGTAAGTGAACTGGTCCACTGCTGCTCGTTTCTGCCTCTTGATTGCGATTTTGGAGTCTGCATACGATGCAGGAGCAGGTTGGTACACGGCTACAGCCTTTCAAATACTGATGGGGAGTCCAAGGTTGCAATAAGCCAAAGAGAATTTGTCCACCGACATGCATCTCTGGCCCTGAGCCAGCATCCAGGACGTGGTCATCAGCTAAGAGGAAACCCCTCAGAAGAGTTTCCTTCACTTTGGCGAAAGCTTGAGGTCTCCTTAAAGGGTAGAATTCCCACCCACTCTGTGCTTGAGGCTGATTCCAGCACTGCATTCTGAAAGGCATCATACAGCCTGGCAGTGGATATCGTGCTGAAGAGGGTGAGTGCCAGGAGAAGGCCCTGGTAACCCCATTGGTGACTGCCTTAGCGGATTCTCCACCGCCCAGCACCCTGGCCATCATGGCATCACGGAACTTGCAATTTGGATTTAAGTGAGAATTGCGCAGCGTCAGCCTCATTCTCTTCCATCTAACTGGGGGGCAAAGTCAAGTCAAGGGAAGCAGAGGTGGGACTCATTGCAGTGGGCGAGTGGGCATCTTCTCTGCCTTGTCTTGCTCTCCATGCTCCAGGCACTTGCAGAGGCTGCCTTTGTGGCCTTGAGTGGAGGAGGCCGTTGGGCCTTCCAATGTCTCACCCACTCAGGCCATAGTCGCTCTTCACGTGCTCCAGTGAAGGTTTAAGGCCCATCAGCCACCCTCCCCTGGTTCAGCCAGAGGGTCAAAGCTGTTACCCGGGGTGTGGTTGTTGCCACATACTAACAGCCTTGGGGAGCCACAGGTGAGAGCTGAGTGCAAGGTGGGGCTCAGAGGTGGATGAACTGACTGGAAGGACATGTTTCCCTGACAAAGATGCTCCTTCTCTGACACCCCATGCACCCCCACCCCTTACTGTGCTTCTGGAGAGACACGGAAACCTGGTTGCTGAGGTGAGCAAATAGCACCGTACCCTGTCCTGGATGGTGTTTTTCTGCTTCATCCCAATTTCTACGCCCGTCTGGTGCAAACTGCATAGACTTTTTTATGGATAAAGCACAGATTTATTCAGACTGTGTCATGACAAATGAAACCAGCCAAGAATATCATTCTTTCCCTCTTTCTCAGTTTCACAACCACTTACAGGATTTGTTCAATACAGCTTAATGGCATGTATTATTTTTGAAAAAGAATTACACCTCCCCCCAAAATGTATTTATGGGCTGGAACTAAATCGCCAAAGTCTCAGATGCTGTGGACATCACTGTAAACCCTCTGGGACAGGAGCCCCCAACCCCTGGGACACAGCCCACGACAGAGCCACAGCCCGTTCAGAACGGTGCTGTGGAGGCAGTGAGCAAGCGTGCACGCACGTACAGCTCCACGTGTGTGCACAGAGGGTGAGCATGCACAACTCCATTGGTGCAAGCAACGTGCACACCCACCACTCGTACAAATGGAGCTGGAGATTGGTGCTCTGGAAGGCTTCTGCAGTGCACACATTCACCTCCCCCTCCCTCCCCGAAGCCTCCTGTGCAGCTCATTCAAAGGACACCTTTCACAAGATCAGGTAGACGTTGCCCCTAGCCCAGGAAAGGCCCCTTCCTCTCCATTCTGGCTGGATGCAGACAAACGAAGACTTTGCTGTGGGCATATTCTGACTTTTATTAGACTGCTATTTATACAGTTTAGTGCAGAGGCTGGCCTAGGGGGCAGAGTGGCAATGGCTCAGCATGCAGCATTTCAAGCCCCTCCAAGCCAGCCACGTGGGGGAGGGGAAGGAAGAAGAGAGAGGAAAGTGTCCCCAAGTAACATCAACATCCCAGTTAAAAGGTCTCGGCAGACCCCCAACGTGGAGGCGCCGAGAGAGACTTTGAACTGCGCACCCTCAGAGCCGACCAAGCCCCCCTTTGCTGCCCAACACCCACAGCCTCCCCTCCCAGGGCGGAACACTCTGCCCAAGACCGCCAGGGGGAGCCGGTGGGGAAGATCATGCCCAGCAAGCAAGGGAAGGAAGGCCATGATGGGCATCGGAGGGACTCAGCGGGTGCTCCTGGCCTCAGGAGGAGCAGGATAGTTTCCAAAATGAAACGGACATTTCTAGAGCAAAACGCAGTGGACAAGAGCAGCAGCATATTTACACACCCCTTCCTCAACTCGGGGTCAACCAAGAGATGCAGGGCGTGAATCCCTTCTCTTCCTCTCTCCGGGCAGGCAGGCAGGCCAAAGGCAAGTGCCCACCGCAGCCACCTTGAGGTGCCGCCTTCCCTGGAAGCATAAGGACCCCGACCCCAGCACACCAACCAGGCCCGTAGGGAAAAGAGAACAAAACCGGGGAGGGGAGGGGACTGTGAGGGAGGAAAGGGCTGGAGGTGGCCTAATCCTTGGCACGGCCAATGATGGCCAAGATGTACAGGAAGATGTTGATAATGTCCGTGTAGAGGTTGAGGGCTGCAAAGACATACTCCTCCTGGCTGATGGCCAGCTGCTTGTTCCCCAGGATCAGCTGTGTGTCCACCGCCAAGAACTGCAACAAAGACATGGCTGAGTTAGTTCCCAGCGCCTCCAATGGATGGCCGACGGGGAGGGAGGGTCTTCCGCCAGCCCTCAGGCCTTTCCCTACTCTAAACCTCCTGCAGAGCAGCCCCTGCTGCTCCATGAGAGAAGAGATCCCCCCCCTCTTCCCAGGGTGCCGCAGACACTCACGCAGGTGAAGAGCAGGGCCCCAAGGGACGCGTAGACGATCTCCAGGATGCGGTTCCGGATGAAGATGCAAAGGATGGCGAAGATTAACAGGACCATCAGGCAAACGATCAGCACACCACGGCAGGAGGTGAAGTCGTACTTGGTCTGCAGGAGGGGAGGGGGTCACAGGGCAAGTTCGGGCTGCTTTACTATACTGGCCCCACTCACAAACATTGCAGAATGCAGAGGCTCTGTTCTAAGGGACCGAACGGGTGAAAAGCCCAGGGATACGAGAATCCTGGACTCATCTGGTACAGGCATGGTGGCCTCACTAGGAATCTCGCTCTTGGGCCCTTCATTCCCCCAGAGCAGCACTGCCAATGGGCATGGGAAGTTCTGGGGTCCAAGACAAGCGAGTGCTCCCCAATCCCCCCTGCAAACATGAGAAGGTGGCCCCGACTTATGTCTGGACGCCACGTGGCCCAATTCCCCCACCCAGGCGGAAGCAGAGGGCCCCCACCTGCAAGGAGAAGATGACGACGGTGAAGCACACGGCAGTCGTGATGCCCACGGCCATGATGACAGCGTCCGTGTTGTAGAAACTGGCAATCATGCCCACCATGTAGGAGAGACTCAACGTCAGGATGGACTGTTGGGGGAAAGGAGGGTGTTAGTGCCTCCACCAGGGCTTGGAGGGGGGCCTCCTCCCTCCCTTGGGGGGGCTTCTGCCAAGAGCCAGCCAGACCTTCCAAGCCCTCATGGACAGCAGTCCCAATCTCTCCCGCCAGGGCCCTGCCCTACCAGGGCGATGAGGTTCCATGGGTGCTTCCGCCGGAAATCCCCACAGCAGCTCAGGACGATGAGGGAGATGAAGAAAACCGCGTAGGAGACGTAGTACGTCCAGACATTTTTGCGCACAAAGCCCTTCACGTCCTTCACAAAGGTGAAGATGGCCACAAAGGAGAAGGTCACAGAGAGCTGGATGGTCAGCACCAGGAAAACCTGCGGGTACAAGGGCAGCAGCTCAGCCTGGTCACCAATGGTGGAAAGTGCTCCTGCAGGGCAGTCCTCTGGGGCACCAGGAGAGGGAGGGATCCAATTGACCAAGGAGGGGGGACAGTCCTCTCCCCTGCCTGGACTTTCCTACAAGAGGCACCCGACTCTCTTCCACGTAAGCTGAGCTGCTCACAGGAGATTCAGCGGGGACCCCATCTAGCTCAGCTTCATCCAAGAGTCTGCCCAGCCCTTTCTTGGGCAGTGTGGGAAGTCCACTGGCGGAAGCCCTTCCCTCAAAGTGGAGAAAGAGCACGGAGACCCCGCTTCGTCCTGTCCTAAGGAAGTTCTGGAGATCCTCTCCTCTACACTGTGTCCTTTTTCTGCAAGAGGAGACCAGAAGGTCTACAGAGGAAGGTCCATTGTGTTCAGGTAGGGTTTCCCCCCCCCCTTCTGGCCGAAGAACCATTCCCTTCTTCTTGCAAGGAGTGGGCAAGGAGCACGTCCCAAGCGGAGAGTTTTAGGCCCCCTAAGCTGAGCCTCCCCTCTGGTGGGGCCTCCAAGGAAGGGACACTAGCTCTGACCAGAGAGGCCTCTGACCACTTGCAGCCTGGCCCTGGGCAGGGTGGCAGCAATCAAAGGGTCAGCCTCTCACCCAACCAGCAGCATGCTGGCTACAGCTCAACCAGCCCTGCAGTGACCAACTTGCTGACCTTGCGAATGAAAGCCTGCCGGATGTTCTTGTCACCCCAGTTGCTGGGGGTGAAGCCATCGTTGTCGTAGTAAGAAGGTGGACCATCCTCGTGGTAGTTGTTCTGCATCGGGTCTGTGCAGAAGCAGCAACGCAGGTGGACTGAGTGACTCTCTGTACGACCCCTGGACAGCCTGTCGTCCGGACAGCAGGCCTGGTGCAGGTGGGCGCCTGCTCCCCAGATCACACAGAGAGTGCCCAGAGAGTGCCCCCTTCCACCCAGTCAGAATTCAGGAGATGTGACCCCCCCCCCCCCAAGGAGGCTGCTCACAGCCAGTGGATGCCTTAGGACTCCCTCCATGGCCTAGGATGGGGGAGCAGAGCCACTAGGGCTTTGCAGAGGGCCCCGTGCCCAGGAAATTCACCCCTTCCTGTTGCCCACCAGGGCACAACTTACCAGGCGGGCTCATAGGTGCTCCAGGATGCGGCTGCACGTAGGGAGCCTGTGGGTAGGCCCCTTGAGGGTACGCAGCTTGTGGATAAGGTCCATAGGGCGCGGCTTGAGGGTAGGGAGCAACCGGGTAGGGGCTCGGAGGATAGCCAGTCTGGCCGTAAGGTGAAGGCTGGAACTGACCCTGTGGGTGGGGAGCCACTGGATACGGAGCTTGGACGTAGCCGGGGGGCATCGGAGGCTGCGGGCCTGAGTAGGGGTCCCCGGACACCAGGAAGCTCTTCTCGTGCGACATGGTGGTGATGCTGGGGGCTGCAGGGGGGGGAGAGGGAAGCAGGTGAGCCGTGGCAGCATCTGTTACAGTCCTTCCTTGTCCTGACAATCCCCCCCCCACCCAAACAGGCTTCCTGACCAATTGGGATTCCCTAAGAGATCCTGGGGTTCCCTCTCGTCATCCACCACATCCCACCAACCCACCAGTGCCCTCTCACCCCGTGCCCAGCAATCTGCTGGGAGCAAAGGTAGGGAGAGGGGGAGGAGTTTGGGAGGACCCCCCACACCACTTCTGAGAGCGTTCACAGGGGTATCTCCTTCCAAGGCTCCCCCCAGGGTGAGGCTGGGCATTATGCCTCCAGAGCAGCTCATCCTTTGGGGGGAGGGCATCCCCCCCCCCATGCTATCCCACCTGGGGACCTCCCCTCCCCTATCCTGCCACTGTGGTCTTCAGCGGAGCCGGTGGCCAATATTAACCCTCCCTCCGCCCAAGAGAACAGAACTGGATGGCTCTCTAAAGGAAGATGGAGCAGGAGGGATGGCCAAAGCAATTTAGCAAGAAATTTTAATTTATGGCATTAAAGCCTTTGAAGGTCACAGAGGGATTAACTTAGTAATAGTAGTAAAGTTGGAAGGGACCTTGGAGGTCATCTAGTCCAACCCCCTGCTCGGGCAGGAAACCCTACACCATTTCGGACAAATGGCTGTCCAGTCTCTTCTTAAAAACTTCCAGTGTTGGAGCATTTGCTGCTTCTGGAGGCAGGCTGTTCCACTGATTAATTGTTCTCACTGTCAGGAAATTTCTCCTTAGTTCTAGGTTGCTTCTCTCCATCAACTTTTTTCCAGCTCTGGTTAAGGCAGACACGGGTTTATCTCTCTCTCTCTCTCTCTCTCTCTCTCTCTGTGTGTGTGTGTGTGTGTGTGTGTGTGTGCACGCGCACATGCCCATTTTCTTGCTCTTCCCAGGAAGTGGCCCTGGGCCTCCTTTCAGCTTTATCCGCCCTCTTCTAGCCGGCAGCCCTGAGATTTTGGGGACTTCTTTAGATTAACCAGGATTAGCAGATTCTCCTACAGTGGCAGCAGCTTTTGACCAAGAGTCGCAAGGTCGCCTTCCCAGCAGCAGCTGCAGCAGCAGCAGGAAGACCCCCCGGGTATTCTCTGCCCCCCCCTTTGTGGTCTGTCATGTGGGGCTCCCCGTGAGACCGAAGCCAGCTTGGAACGGCTCCCGCCTCGGCCATTGGCAGAGCCCCCCTCAAGCCCCCCTTGGCTCCTGGAGGCCGTTACGCCCGAGTATCGAGTGCCAAACGGGTGGCCCTTCCTTTGCCCGAGGGAGCACCTGGGCCCCTTTGGGACCTCGTGGCTCTGGGACCCCATCCAGGCACTGACCGGATCTGGCCCTGCTTGGCTTTCCACGAGGTCAGCTGGAGCTGCCACACCAACCGAGCAGCTGCCGTGGGGAGTTTCCTCACCCCCCTGCTGCTCATGGGCATCTCCCCTGGGGGGGGGTGTCTTGGGGGCCCCCCAACAGGCCCGCTTGGACTCCTGGACAGAGCTGAGCCCCTACCACTTCAGCAGAAGGGGAGACCTGCCCCCCGACCCTGAGGTGATCTAAGGGTTGCCAAGGGCTGGAGGGGCTCAGTGCCCAGGAAGAGGGTCCCAGGAAGGTTCCCAGTTACCTGTCCCCCATTACACAAATACCCCCGAATCCCAGCCCATTCCAGACTGCGGGCCCATTTGTGCCGACTGTGCCGACAGGCCGCAGCCCCCGGTACCCTTTGCCAGCCTCCCCTCCTCCCCCAGAGCACCCAGCCCAGCCCACCTTCAGGGCCCAGGACGCCTTCAGACAGCCTGGCCTAGCAAGGCCAGAACCACCTCCAGCGCCCCTCAGCCTGGCAGGAGCAGCTCCCCAAGGCTGCCACCACTGTGTTCTATTATGGGCTCTGTTGCCATGGTGCCCAGCAAACTGTTATTCTGACGGGCTCTTTGGGGGGGGGGGGAAGAGGCTCCAGTCCCAGAAGCAGGAAGTGCCATGTGGCCAGAGAATCAGAGAATCATGGCACCCCCAGGGGAGGGCTGGCATTGTGCCCAAATGCTAGCCTGCCCCCCTCCCATCGGCAAGGGTTTCCCTTCACGGCCTTTAACTGTGCTCCCCAGCCTCCCCACCCCCATCAAGGCAGAGCCAACAGCAAAAGGGGGGCCCTGGCCCCGCTAACCCCCTCCCCTTCTCCCAACCAGGAGCAAGCCATTGCCTGGAGCTCAGCAGGGGACGAGGTCTGGGGAGGGGGCAGAGGTGCAGCCTGAGTGGCCCCGGCCTTTACATTTCGCGAGCCTAAATCATGCAGGGTAGGCCTGCCTAGTGGACGGGCTCGTCCCTTTCAAAACTCTGTGCTGTCTGGATGTTGTGAGGTGGCATGCAATCGGGCATCTCACAAAAGTTACAAAGATTAAAAAAAAATTAGACTGGAATGTGGTAAATTTTACAATTTCAGAAGCTCTGGCTCTTTTATTTCTTCATCTGAATAAATTCATACGCTGCCTGATTCTGCAATTCTGGATGCTTTGCAACTTTATACTCCAAAAGGATGCGCCCCCTTCTCAAGACCCCATCCTTGGACCCCGCAGTATTGGACGACCGTTCGTCCAGCCCCGCGTGAAGCCAGGTGTCCGGACCCTTCTCGGTCGGAGTTCAGGCCAGGGCACAGCACTGGAGACAGGCCGAGCCTTCTGGTCCTCTCGGCGGCTTTCCGTACCATCCACCCTGGCACCCTTCTGGGCCAGCTTCGGGGTTGGCAGGGGGAGGCCTGGAGGTTCTCTTCCTTCCTCCATGTCTGGCTCTGGTTAGGGCTGGTAGGAGGGCAGGGTGGGGCCCCGGGGCCCTGCACCTCTCCTTTCCAACGCGAGACCCCTGGGGAGGCAGCTGTCCGGTGGGGCCTGGTGTCACCATAGGCCATGAATCCCAATTGTGCATCTCCTCCCTGGCTGGACAGGGGATGCCCTGGCAGGGATGGCCGAGGGCCTGGCGGCTGTGAGTGTCTGGCTGGGGAGGAACCGGCTCTCACTCAGTCCTGGCAAGACAGAGTGGCTGTGGGATTTTATTCCCCCATCCCCCCGCCCCCCCCCGTCCAGGCCCTGGTGATGCTTCATCTTTGGCTCTGGGTGGGTGGTGCTTCCCTGGGCTGGGCTGATGTGCAGTGGGGGGGGGGTTTCTCCTGGACTCAGGGCTCCTGCTGAAAGGGCAGCCATGCTGGGGAGGCCTTTGCATCGATCTTCTGGGGGGGGCACTTACAACCCTGTCTGGACAGGAGGCCTTGCTCATGGTCACTCATGTCTGGTCACCTGTCCTCATCTGGATTACTGCGATTTTCTCCACATGGGGCTGCCCTTGAAGACCACCCGAAAACTTCAGTGGGTCCAGAATGCGGCAGCAGCATTCACACAATCACAGAGTAATGCCAGCTCTCTTGCGGCAGCTGCACTGGCTCCCAGTCCCTTTCTAGGTGCAGGTCAAGGCGCTGCTCGTCCCCTTAAGAGCCACACTTGGCACAGGGCCAGGTTGTCTGCCGGATCACCTTTTTTCCTAAAGAGCTCTACCCCTCCTATCTGGTGAGAGAGAATGGGCACGCTCCTGGTCCCTTTCCACCCCCCACCTCCCTGACATGCAGCAGCCCTCCCTAGTCCTTTAGTCTTTCTTGGGGTGTCACAGACCGGGCTTTTCCCTTGTGAGATTAGATGACAGCAAGTTAAGTTGGATTGGTGCCAGTTTCTTGTTGTTTTACCTGGTTGCGTTTATAGTTTTTAAAATGACTTTATATGCCTTTTAATTTTTAGAGAGTTGGCTTTAAAATGCTCTAAAGAAATAAATCATCCCAGTCCAGCCAGGGCTCCCGGCTCAGGGGATGGTCTGGGGGCCTCACTCGGAGTCCAGAGGGTGCTTGGGGGGGGGGTGTCAGGCAGCTCCGGGGCCCAAATGCAGGGGGTCATCTCGGCAGCGGCTGGGCCGCCTCCCTCTCAGAGCCGCCCCCCCCTCGGTGCAGATGGAAAGCAACAAAATGAGGAGCCGGAACCAGGAGGGGGCAAAACGGAGGAGAAACCCCCTCCCCAAGCTTCGGGCCAGCCGCTGAGTCGGACCAGGGGGAGGTTCGGGGGCCGCCAGTCCCGCGCCCGCTCGCGCCGCTCGGAGGGGCTCCCGGCTTGCTCCCGCTTCTCCGGGGGCCCAGCGCCGGCCCCCTTCAGAGCTCCAAGACCGCGGGCGAGGCGGGGGCCTGCAGGCCCGCTGCTCCCAGACGCGGGGAGGGCCCGGGCCCCACGCTCGACTCTGCCACCCCCGAACCCCGGGAGAAACCCGGCCGGCGTCCCGCCTGCTCCGCCCGCCCGGCAGAGATGACGGACAGCTGCCCCAGCCGCGCTCTGACACCGGCTTCCGGCCCGCGCGCGCCGCCAAATGCGCAGAGCCAGCGGAGGGGCCGGCAGCGCCCCCGCCCGCCTGCCTGCGGGGGGATCAGACCGGCGCCCCGGGCAGGCCAGGCGGCGGCTCCGGGATGCGCGGCAGGGGAGCCGCTGCAGCCGGGGATGCGGCCGGGCCTCTGCGGGAGCGGCGCCGAAATACCCCGAAGCGAGGCCTCCCCTCGGCCGGATGGCCAGCCGCCCACGGGACCGTCCCGGGAAGCACGCCGGACCGATGGCCGCTCCCGATGCGAGGCAGGCGGGACGCGGCCTTCGGCTGCCCGAAGAGCGAGCGACAGCCGCCCTGCCAGGAAGACCCTCGCCCCAAGGCCAGGCCCGCCGGGAGCAGCCCAGCCCGGCCCGGCGACGGGACTCCCCGCGCCGTCCCCGCCTCCCGTCCCGGGGCTGCTGACTCACCGTCGCCTCCGGGATCCCGCAGCGCTCCGGGTGCGCAGCAACGGCGGCGGCGGCGGCGGCGGCTTCCTCCTCCTCCTCCCAGGCCGGGCACGGAGGGGGCGGGAACTGTGACGTCAGCAGTCGGCCTCTTGACCAGCTGGTCTATCTCCACGCAAGGATCCCCCCTGGCGCCCTCCAACAGCTCTGCCCACCCGGAAGCTTCCGTGGGGAGGCCGTCCGCGAGCTACAATCCTTAGCAAACACGCTAAGTTTTTTTGCCCCCAGTCTGCCGACCAGACCCCTCCCCCACCCGCTGACGTTTGAAATGGCATCAAAGCCAGGACTGGATAAAATGGTTGCAGAACTGCCAAACACCCCCGCGCCCCAGAGCAGCAGACACCACACACTGTGCTGCGGCACTGCACACACAGCGCCAGAGACAACATTCACAACTCGTGGGGCACCTTCACACGCTCCAGCCCTGAAGGTCTTGGTCAAGAGAAGGCTGATTCCCACCTACAAGATAACCCAGCCAGGCTCACCCCACCACTTGGCCCTTGTCACATACCCAATTCCGTGGGCACCCACACGCCCAAACCAGCCCCCTGGCCTTTAGGCACCCCAAACCCCAGCAGACCCTTGGGGGACGGTCCCAGTTTGCTTTCACACCCTTCCCGGGGCATCTGCTGCTCCTCACTCCCAGGAGTGAAGGGCATTTCTCCTAAGCGCCAGGTGGCCTCTGGTCTCCTGGGCAGAACAGCCAGGCCCACCACCCTCCTCCTCTCTCCCAGGACCCTCCAAGGCCGCCTGCTCCACCACGAGGGCCACCTTCACAAACCACACTCAGCTGTGTTGCTGCAGGGCTTTCCTAACCGCTCTATGCTAAGCAGGTGGGCTGGCTGGGGGGAGGTCTTAAGGGGCAGGGTACCATGGGCCCAGGCTGCCCCCCCCCAGCCCTCCTGAGGAAGCAGCGCAAGGCCCCCTGGCCAGATCAAAGGGACTCCGAGCAGACCAAGCAAGGCCCGGGGATGATGGCTGGGACGTCTCCCACTATCCCCAGGGGGCTTTCCAGTTTGCCCTGGGTACACCAGGACTCCCTCCTGTCCCAAGGCCTTGCTCATCGGTCCTAGACTAGATGCCATCGTAAGTGGGCAGTGAGTTTGGCCTCTGTTATACAGAAGAGACTACCGATTTTGCCAGTGACGAAGAAGAATCCCCAATCGGGGGCAGAGAGACCATCTGGACTGGTCATCAAGTTGGAAAAAACAAATATACTGACCACTGACGTTCAGCAGTTGCCCTACGCCAAAATGGAGTGCAACTTCACAAAATCAAAACAGAATAAAGCAAAAGCAGAGCATTGCGCCTTGGAAGATGCCAACCACGGCCGGCAAAACATCAGGATGCCAACCCATGAGATCACGGCCCATTGAGCTGGAAGCTCATCTCCGTGGGAAGAATTCAAGTCTCTCTGCTCCTTGGCCCAGCAAGCCAAAGTGAAACACCAAACTGGTGCCACCTCGGGGCGTTTGGTTCACTCCTCCGGCCTTTTGGGGAGAAGCCTGACATCCCCACACGGGCCCAAATGCGAAGATTTTGGCCGATGAAGCGACCGAGGGGCTGAATCACAGACTCTGCCATGGCAGAGATCCCAGTGTGCGGTCCCCACTGGATCCTCAACACTGCGTCGCTAGATCCCGTGAGGATGAAGCCAGCCAGCCAGCAGCCATGCTGCAAGCGGTCAGCAACAGCCAATGCCAGCTTAAAAGGGCAGAGGGGCATATTTGCAGGATTTGACATGGATTCTGACATGAGCAGCCCTTGGAGGCAAAACTCGGCGCAGGAGGCCGGCAGGCTCACCCCAGAAGATTCTGGGTCCAATATGAGTGAAGCCAAAATCCCAGCAGGGAACAAAGCACTTGGCTGAGGTCTGCATCAAAGGGCTGTAGCCCAGCAGCCCCCCCCCCCATAGCCGTACTCGGCCAATTCTCTGTCCCAGGGACACCAAGTTCCGCTTTCCCCCCTCCCGCCCATCCCACTCCTGGCCTTGGCACACAGGTGGGGTTGGGGGGGGTGAGGAGCTTCAGCCCTATACATGCAGCTGCCCCTCCTGACCCAGTCCTGACTCAGCCAGCATTCGGCACTCAAGTGAACCTCCCTCCCCCCTCCCCCCAAATTCTTCTCCCTGGCTCCATCCAACCTCAGCCCTGCTCTGGCAAGACTGGGCAGCCCCAATGAACAGTGGCCAGAGGCAGGCCAAATTTCTGTGCCCATCCAAGCGGAAAAGGGAGCAAAGCGCCTAGCCCCGCAACCCCGCAGCCCCCCCCGTTTCAAGCCACAAGGAAGCCTTGCCAAACCTGCCAGGGCAGCAGCTGCGATCCCAATTCCCAGCGTGCGCCGCAGACGATTCGCCCACCAACACTCCTCTCTCTCCAAACCCCGACCGACCGACCGACCGGGGACGGAGCGAAGAGCTATTGCAGGCAAGCGCTCCCCGTAAGTAGGTCATTATGGTGACGGCCCAAAAGCAAAGCGGCTTAGAGGGAGAGGGAGCCAAGCCAGCACGGCCGGCAAGAGAGGGCGAAGCTTAGGAGCCTTCGAGGCTTAGAGCGGTTCTAAAATAAACCTGGAGGCCTTCCGAGATAAGCCTGGCTTGTTTGGGGAACGGCCCCTCCCCCACCAAGTAGTAGCCCTTACCTCTTACCTTCTGCATTCTCTTCACCAACTCCCCCCCCCCGTTTATATATGCCGCTGACTCAGAATAATCTTCCGATCAGGAAAGGGAACAGCCAGAGCCTCAATCAATCTCAGACCGACAGCTCCTTTCCCTCCCCCCCTTTAAAAGAGCCCCCCCCCCGTTTGGGTCAGGCGCTGACTGGCAGCCTGCTTAACCAGATCGGTTGCACCGGAAGAGGCATAAATGCCACCTGCACCTCCAGGGAAGCTGAAGGGATCCGTCAGCAGCTTTATTGAGGCTCACTGCATTTGCAAGCCCAGAGGGGGCCTGTTTTTTTGTTTTTTTTTTAATTTGGGGCTCTTATGTGCTCTGACCGGCCTTGGTTGCAATGCTGCTAGCTGCCCAAAGTTGCAACTGTGATTAGGAGGGGGGCCGTTGTCAATTGATTACATAAATAAATGAAAATGGTTGGATTCTGTCACCAGTTCAAGCCTGTTGCATACAGGCAGGCCTCATGTCTTATACGGAGAACCACAAAGTACACTTTGAGAGTTAAACAAGTGTAGAATAACAGAATAACAGAGTTGGAAGGGACCTTGGAGGTCTTCTAGTCCAACCCCTTGCTCAAGCAGGAAATCTTATACTAGGGGGAGGCAACCTTGGCTCTTTTTTGTGTGTGTGTGTGTGTGTGTGTGTGTGTGTGTGTGTGTGTGTGTGTGTCCTCTGCCCCAGAGGAGGCAGGGCCCCTAGCTTCTTTTCAAAAACATCTTTCTCTCCTAACATGCTTTGCTCCCTGGCTGACTTGAAGCCCCTCCCTCAATTCAATTCAATGGGCCCCTGGACGGAAACTGCCCCATCATCCCATGAATAAATTAAGCTGGTTCCCCTTCTCCGCATTTATTCCCTGGGAACGCTCAACTGGACCCCTCGGCCTGGGGACATCCTAAACCAGCCAAGCCCCTCTTCAGCCTTCACCACCTGCCTGAAGCAGAGCTTTGTCCAGCATGGCAAGTATAAGATATAGAACCACTGAGCTGGAAGGGGCCACAGAGGTCATCAGTTCCCCCCTCCCATACCCAGAGCTTTGCAGAGAGAGGGCTATCTGGCCCCTTTGAAGACCGTCGGCAAAGGGCAAAGCTTTGGGGATCCTTGGGCCCCACCCTCCGAAGTATCACCAGCCCTCCCAGCTCCAGGTCATCGGCTAATGTGGTGACTGTCCACTCAGTTCTCACCTCCAAGGATTTGGTTAAAATGTTGAAAGACCATGGCATAACCCCATGGCATCTTCCTTGAGGCTGCTCCCCACACTGGAGTCATCGATGGGAACTATCCGGGGGGGGGGCGGGGGAACAGGAAATTATGAGTCTAGATAACGGTTACAACATGTAGCTCTTATTTCCTCTTATTTATTTTAAGAGAATATATGTAGCTTAGTCTTGAACTGTGGGGTGCTTTCTGAGCTTGCAGACATTTCATGACCCAACTAGGTTACGTTATCAGTAATAGTAACTGTGGGTTTTGCTCCCTAACCTTATTTTATCATTTCATAATGAGGATGTCATGAGAAATGTTGTCAAATCCAATAAAATACCGCCTACAGCTCAAAGCTGGAGTTCTGAGAAACATCATAGTTTAAGAAGCAAGATGGCATCTTCATTGGCAGAGCTGTCAGGGCTCAGGGGCCACGCCAGTTCGCCCTCCGACGGAAAACACCGGTACCACAGAGCACACACAGGAGGGCCTTAAGACAGCCCCAGATGCCAGGAAGTGCCAGGCACGAGGGTTCAAGACCTCACAGCTGGATGCTCTGGCTAAGTCCTGGGCAGCCCGCAGGGCAGACTCGGTGGAGGAGGCGAAAGTTCAGAATCCCTGGAGGAAAGTCCAAAATGCTGAAGTTCCTGGCTTTTAAGGGAAAGTAAAACTGCCCCATTTATCCTGGACAATTCAGAGTCCTGCGGAGGAGGCTGAGACGGGTGAGGGAAAGGAGCTCAAGCAAGGCGGAAGTTGCTAAAGAAGGAAATGCCAAAAGCCCCGCTGGAAACAATGGCAGGCAGGCAGGCAGGCAGGCAGGCGGAAGGAAGGAAGGAAGGAAGGAAGGAAGGAAGGAAGGAAGGAAGGAAGGAAGGAAGGAAGGAAGGAAGGAGGACACCGGAAGGGATGCCCAGAGCGGCTGGGAAGAGAGTCTGGACACAAAGGAAGCGACCAGGAGCCCCGGAACTGCAAAGCGCTTGTCAGGAAGCTCACCAGGGATGCTCCGAATAGCAAAATGGCTTCTTTAGTTAGATTTGAAATAATAAGGAAGAGAGTCCAGCTGCCTGGTGGCTCTTCAGTCCCTCTCCGAGCTCAGCCGCCTTCTGCCCCTTCTGCCCGGTGACCGGCGGGGTGAAGAGGCCGGGCTCTCCCTCGACAGGAATGAAATCTCCAGGACCAGAGGAACGGCCTCCCCCCCTTCCATGGGAGATCAGCTGACGGCTGGTCCACCCCCGCCGTTTTCTCTGGAAAGGAATGACCGATTGGTGGCCCAAGAGAATGGAGGAAGAAAAATGGACGCTTATATTCATTTTGTAATCCACCTGTATTATTTTTACAAATAACTCAAGGTGGTGAATACCATCTCCCTCTTCCTGTTTTCCCTGTGAAAAGGGGCCACCTGACCTCTTAAGAGGCTGACCCTTCAGCCAGTATGAATCGGTCAAGGACAACTCACACCAGAGCTCCTTGCCAGTTTGTGGGCACGCTGTAGTCAGAGTTTGCCTTGATCGGAGCCAAGCATTTGCCAAAGAACCCCGCGGCATGCTGGCTGCAAGCGAGTTAACGGTGGGCTGGATGGCATGGCCATGACCTGGGTTCATCTCTGGTGGGAACCTGCACTCAAAGCATACATATATACATATATGTAAGAGAATACATATATGTAAGCTAATACCATCCTGGGTTGTATAAACAGAGGCATAGAATCAAGATCACAAGAAGTAGTAATACTGCTAGTGAGACCACACCTGGAATAATGCAGCCAATTTTGGTCACCATACTACAAAAAGGATGTTGAGACCCTGGAAAAAATTCAGAGAAGAGCAAAGCCCTGGAGACTAAAACATATATAGAACGGCTGCAGGACTTGGGTTTGACTAGTCTAAAGAAAAGAGGAAATAGGGGTGACATTATAGCAATATTCCAGTATTTGAGGGGCTGCCACCAAGAAGAAGGGGGTCACATTATTCACCAAAGCGCCAGAGGGCAGGACAAGAAACAATGGTTGGAAACTGATCAAAGAGAGAAGCACCCTGGAATTAAGGAGAAACTTCCTGACAGTAAGCACAATTAACCAGTGGAACAGCTTGCCTCCAGAATCATGGGTACTCCATCACTGGAGATTTTTAAGAAAAGGTAGACAGTCACTTGTCTGAGATGGTATAGGTCAGAGATAGGCAACCTTGGCTCTTTTATGACTCGTGAACTTCAACTCCCAGAATTCCTGAGCCACCATGGCTGACTCAGGTTGCCTATCCCTGGTATAGGTTCTCCTGCTTGAGCAGGGGGCTGGACTAGAAGATCTCCAAGGTCCCTTCCAATTTCTATCCCAGGGGTAGGCAACCCAAAACACTCGAAGAGCCACTTGGACCCGTTTCCCACCGAAAACAAAACACCGGGAACCGCAAAATCCTTTTGATATCTAAAATGAAGATAACACTGCATATATCCTTTTTTACCTTTATTATAGGTTTGTGTGTGTGTGTGTCTGTGTGTGTGTGCATGTATACATACACACATACCCACACAGGTAAAAAAGGATATATGCAGTGATATGTATAGATGTCAAAAGGGTCTCTCTCTCTCTGTCTCTCTCCCTCTCTCTATCTGCCCTTGGTCTGCCAGTCCTCTTCCCCCACTCTTTTTCTTTCTCTCTTTCCTCTCTCTCTCTCCCTCCCTCTCTCTCTCTCTCTTTCTCTCCCTTCCTCTCTCCTTCTCTATCTGCTGCTCACCTGGAAAGCTGGCTTCAAGTTGTTCTCCAACAAGCTCAGGGGTAGGCAACTTTGGCTCTTTTATGACTCATGGACTTCAACTCCCAGAATTCCTGAGTCAGCATAGCTGGGCTAGCTAGCTCTCTTCTGCCCTTCCTGCTTCCTGCTTCCTGCAGAGACGCAGCAAAGGGAGGAGCCCCGTCCAATAAGCTTTTCAGCTCCTCAGAGAACACTGTGAGTGCACTCTTTTACACACACACACACACACACACACACACACACACAAAGAGAGAGGGAGAGGGAGAGAGAGGGAGGGAGAGAGAGAGAAGCAGGGAAGCACAATTGCCTCTCTCTGTCTCTGTCTCTCTCTGCAAATGGCAGAGGAGGCTGGGAGCCACAGGGGAAGACTCAAAGAGCTGCATGCGGCTCCGGAGCCGCAGGTTGCCGACCTGTGTTCTATCCTACCCTACCCTACCCTACCCTAATAGCAATAGCACTTAGTCTTAGGCTTATATACTGCCTGAAAGATGTCAGCCTCTTGCCCCCAACAATCTGGGCCCTAATTTTACTGACTTTGGAAGGATGGAAGGCTGAGTCAACCTTGAGCTATCAGGATTGAACTCCTGGTTGAGTGGGGGCTCCACAGGATTGATCCTGGCTCCTCTCCTCTCCAATATTTCCATTACATATTTGGGTTGTTGTAACCAAGGGGTCTTCAAACTTGGCCCTTTGATGACTTGTGGACTTCAACTCCCAGAATTCCTCAGCCAGGCACTGCTGTAGTCCAAACCTTGTTTGCCTAAAGCAGGCCTCCTGAAACCTGGCAACTTTTTGTGGACTTCAATTCCCAGAAGGAGTTGAAGTCCAGAAGTCTTAAACGTTGCCAGGTTTGAAGATCCCTTGTCTAAAGCGCTTTGGAAACGAAACATCTGCCGGAAAACATCCCAGCCCAGAGAGCGCCAAGGACCTCACAGTTATTAAGCATGCAAACCACAAACGCTGTGAACCAAATGCCAACAAAGCAGTGGTGCTTTGTCGGGCAGCCCTGAGTGTGTACCTTCGGCCGACTACATTGTGAGGCAAGACAAAGAGCAAAGCCTGCAAATTACAAGATGGTCTTGGAATGTTTCTGATAAGCCCACCAGGTGACCTTCGATCCCTTCCTCCAAGCAGCTGCACTATCTCTGAGATATGGCCAGTGAATAGAAACCGTGATTTGCTCTGCCCTCCAGTTCCCGGCTGACTCTTCCTCCTCCTCCTCCTCCTCCTCCTCCTCCTCAGGGCCAGTTCTGCTTGTTATGGATGCTTTCTCACAAGGGCATTTCAAGCAGTTCCCATTTAAAGGGGGGAGGGGGATCTCATAGGTTTATCCAGTTTTGGTCACCACGATGTAAAAAAGATGTTGAGACTCTAGAACAGTGTTTCTCAACCGTGACAATTTTAAGGCATGTGGACTTCAACTCCCAGAATTTCACAGCCAGCAATGCTGGCTGTGGAATTCTGGGAGTTGAAGTCCACATGCCTTAAAATTGTCACGGTTGAGAAACACTGCTCTAGAAAGAGTGCAGAGAAGAGTAACAAAGATGATTAAGGGACTGGAGGCTAAAGCACACAAGGAACAGTTGCTGGAATTGGGCATGTCTAGTTTAATGAAGAGAAGGACAAGGGGGGACAGGATAGCGGTCTTCCAGTATCTCATGGGCTGCCCCAAAGAAGAGGGTCAAGCTATTCTCCAAAGTCACCCAAAGACAGGACAAGAAGCAACGGATGGAAACCAATCAAGGAGAGAACCAGCCTGGAATTAAGGAGAAATTTCCTGACAGTGAGGACAATTAACCAGTGGAACAACCTGCCTCTAGAAGCGGTGAATGCTCCAACACTGGAAGTTTTTAAGAAGAGACTGGACAGCCGTTTGTCTGTATAGGGTTTCCTGCCTGAGCAGGGGGTTGAACTAGATGACCTCCAAGGTCCCTTCCAACTATTATTATTATTATTAGAAACTCATATGTGCATGTGTGTGTAGAGGGGTCTCTTTTACCACCACAGGACGAAGACGTCGAGGGAATGCAGGTCAAGTGAGAGAGGACAGGCGATTTCCTAGAAGGCAGAAATGCAACACACACAGTCCAGATAGGCTGGGGAAACGGCTGAAGGCAAGAAAATGGCAGGTAAAATTCTTTACTTAGGAAAGAGAAATGGAAAGCGTGAGTACAGGAGGAGGTCCCTGGATGGGCAACAGTATTGGTGAAGGAGGTCGTGAAATCCTTTGAGAGCCCCCCTCCCCCACCTGAGCCAGAAGGTGCCGTTCCTGCTCTCCTGCGCTGGGCAGGTTCCTCCTGTGGATTGGGCTGAATTCTGGGCATCCTGCTGGGGAGGGATTTGAGGAAACTGGAAGAGGTTTGGAGAAAAAAAGAAAAGCCCCACAAAACGTCCCAAGTAAACCAAAAGACCCAGCCCCCCCCCCCAAAGGAGTCATCTACAACACACAGGGTCAAGAGTACAACAGCCACTATGCAGGACAAACAGGCAGAAGACCAGCAGAACACATCTATGGAGATCAACTAGCAGCCAGAAGACAGGATGAAAACGCCTTCATTTCACAACAGATGCATAGATGTAACTGGGAAACTGTGACTATCCTAAACCAAGCCAAGTCCAAACAGAGAATTCCTGGAAGCCTGGCCCTCTGACCAATGAACCATCAATAGATACATAGACATAAACAGTATCTACATACTGTACAAAAGGGACAATCAATCAACAAACCAGAAAGGGAACAAATGACCAGGAACCTCCCCATCAGCTATCGATATCCAGATTAGATTAACACTATCAGGCCAACGATCAAGACCCCAATCAAGGAACTGCCAAACAAGCCAGCTGTGAACAGCCCAACCAAAGGACCCCCAAGGCCACCCCCACCGACCCTGACAGGGCCAGCCACTACCAGTAGAATATAAACCACCCCTTGCTAGCACTGATGATGTTACCTTGTTGGGTAATGAAACATCTGCAGGAAAACAACCAAGTTCAGAGAGCACCAAGGATCCCACAACTTTCCTCCCCCTCTTCCCCTCCACAATCCCCCCTCCCTTCTAATGCTGGTGATGTTACCTAGTTTGGGTAATGAAAAATCTGCAAGAAGAGTCACCAGGATGGCCGAGGAGAAAGGAATTCAAGGAATCAGGAATGTTCAGTCTTCAAATTCCCTTTGGAGTCCCGTGTGCAGTGGGGGCTCCCCCCATTTTAAAAAAAAAGACAGTGACAGATGGGAGGATGTGGTGGGGGGTGTGTGTCAGGCTGGAGAGGGCTCCAGAAAGGAAGCTGTTGGAGGAGTGGTAAAAACACTCTTCCAACAGAAGGAACCATGACACCAGGTATGTTGGGCCTATAAAGAAAGCAATTAAGGAGGAGGGAGGGAGAAGGAACAGCTCTCTTCAAGCACCCAGAGCCCTGCCTGGCAGATAAAGGGGGTGGGCTCCTCTCCTTGGGCTCAGAGGGCAGGAGAGAAGAGGTCATGCATTCATGCACTGGAAACAGGCGGCCCTGGGGGTGGGCCGAACGCTCAACAAGAAGTCTTCGAACAGGAAGATGTGCCAGGCCAAGCACCTGATCCACAGATGTACAGTTCAAGCTAACTATTTTATCGTATTCTGCCTATGCTACAGGAATCTCCCCGAGGAGATTGCCTTCCCTTGGGAATAGACCCAATAGCTTCAAGTTCCACCCAGGGACCTCCTCCTGTACTCACGCTTTCCATTTCTGTTTCCTAAGTAAAGAATTTTACCTGCCATTTTCTTGCCATCAGTCCTGGATGTTTTGTGGCTGTGCAAGGACTCGAAGCTAACTGCCTGCTTGAACGCTCCTCCTTTCCCAACAGGATGGTCCTCTGTCAGGTTTGCAATAAGCCCTTTCCAACTCAGGGATACGACAAGAGTTAGGCCTGATCCTGCTCAGGTTCTCAGCCCAGGCCGGCCCCAGACCAGCATCTCCCAGACTGGTGGGCTCTGCAGGTGCTTAAATGAATACAATCAGTGAAAATAACACCATGCAGGAGGTGAGGACGGAAGTGGCCCATATTGAACTTCATTGCTGGGGTGGGGGGGCAGAAGGGGGGAAGCTGAGTTTCCCAGAGCCAGGACCCTCCATTTTCCAGAATTGAGCCAGGGGAGGAAGCAGCCAAATTTCTTTTAGCCATGGCTGATTTAAAGGGCCCGACTGCACTGATTCTTGCATCCCATATAAACAAGCCTTACAACCAAGTCTCGGCACAATGTGTGAACCTGGTCACTTCCGAGCAGTATACCGGCCCTCTGCCTCCCGCCCCTCCGAGCTCGCCCTGGACCCCATAAAGGGAGCTCCAGGAGCCACGGAAGCCCCCGGGACCCCCCACCCGAGGTCACCCCACCCAAAGTCGGCCGGGCTGCCCGCCTGTTGCCGACGGCCCTGTCCCGCGACCCGCCGGTCCCCAACTGCGGGGGGGGGCTGAGAAGCGCCCTCCCCCCAAAAGAGGCGTGGGGGGATGGTCAGGGGGGCGAGGAAGAGGCTGGGTCGGCGCAGGCGCAGTCGCCCTCTCCCGCTGGCAGATGCCCGAGCGAGGAGGCCGAGCCCCGAGGCTCCGCCCGGCCGGCCGCAGGCGATGGACAGACGGCCGAAGCCGAGCCACGGGCACCCTCGTCGAGGCGGAGCAGCCGAGTGCCTCCGGCGGCCGAGCGAGCGAGCGCACGGGGCGTCAGCGGGCAGGGGCTGCGGAGGGGCCGGTTGCCGGGGGGGGGGCTCTGCGCGCCCTTGCCCGGAGCCCGTGGAAGGAGCCGAGCTCGGCCCTCGGCCTGGATGTGGCGCCCGGGGCTCGGCCAGGGTTGGCGGTCTAGCGCAGCGGCAAGCCGGGCGGCGGCCTCTCCCCTTGAGCCCGCCGCCCCGAAGCTGGCCTCCCGCCGAAGGGCGGCTCCGCGCTGCGGCAAAGGCAGCGAGGCCGAGACGCGTCCCCCCTTGCCCGCCGCCTCGCCCTCACCTGCCTGCCCGCTGCCGGGCTCCGCGTCGACGGGGGGGAGGGGCGGCGGCGGCGGCGGCTGGTGGGAGCTGACCAGGCGACCACGGCCTCTCCTCTCGCCCGGCTGCCGGGAACGCGGGCGAGCTCGCCAACTGCCGCGGCGCTGGAACGAGCGCGCACGCGCGCCTGGACCAGTCCGCCCGGAGGAGCGCTGAGCCGGCGGGAAAGGGCGCCGCGAGTGACGGGCAGGTTCGATTCCCGGTCTGGCTGCCTCCCTCGCGGCTGAAACCTTGCGGAGCCGCTACGGACTCCAAACTGCCCCCCTCCTCACTTTTCTGCCTGTTCCCAAGGGGCAGCAACCGCCCCGGGGAGCTTCCCGTAGTAATATAGGCAGTAGCTTGAACTGCACACCTGTGGATCAGGACTTTTGCACCTGTGAGGGCCGCTTGTTGAGCAGGATAGCTGTTCCCAGCGAATGACTGACGGCCTGGGCTCTCGTCCTCTGGCCTGACCCTCCTGTCTCCTGCCCTCCGAGCCCATCCCCTTTCTCTGCCAGGCAGCGTCCAGGGTGCTTGAAGACAGCTGTACACACACACACATACTCTCTCTCTCTTTGATAAACGCAGGTACATTATGAGCGCATGCTCAAAAATGTTTTACTGATCAGAGTGCACAAACAACTTTGGCCACTGCTGATCCAGAGCAGAGGTCTCCAACCCCAGTCCATGGACCGGCACCAGGCTGCAGCATGCCAGCAACTGGGCCACGCAAACCAGGGAGCAGGCAAAGCCACACACACACACACCCCTCTGGTTTGCGGCAGAAGCTCTCTCTGCGGAACCGGTCCTTGGTGCCCAAAGCTTGGGGGCCTCTGATCCATAGCATCTGCTGCTTCAACATGGATCTGGAACACCGCAGCTGTGACGAAAGGAGCACTGTTGGGGCGATGGCCCCGGCTTTCTTTCCCCTTCACGAACAACTCTGCATTCTCTGGTGGGCTCCATTTTGTCTGACCCCTCTCCAGAATGCATCCATATTTCTGCTCTGTAGACCCCATTATTAGTGGTCCCTCCAAATTTCCTCTCAACCAGAAGCTCCATCATCAAATGGTGAAGAATACCAGGTTTAAGAAGATTTACTACAGTATCTGATGCTGACCTCCAGTAAGCCATGCCCAATTTTGAATGTTTTATGATTGTTTTATGATTTATTTAGTTTGTTGTTATCAAAGATCGAACTATCATCAGTAACTGTGGCACGTTCACCTAGAAAAGTGCACAATAATAACACAAACTAAAGATATTAGACCAACAAAGCCAATGGCCACAGCACTTTCACTGCAACTGCCTAATAACTGTAGTTGTGTAGTGTGGCCTGCACTCCTTATTGTGACTGGCACATGATAAAGGAAGTATTATACTAAAAATCCATTTCCCTGGGAATTAGGGAAGGCAGTTGCTAAGCAAATTTTACAAATATCTCTATAAAAACTGCAATAGAGGAATTCACACTAGATAATTTCAGCCCTGCAGAGTCTCGGGAGCCTCGGAATACGGGAAGGTGGAGCCCACCTGAAAGGGCTGAGGGGGAGATGCCAAGCTGGGCTTGGAAAACATCTTCCCTCACAATGGAGGACATCGGTCGGCAGACTGCCACCGCTTCGCTTCCTCGGAGAGGCCCTTGGAGCCCAAGCAGCTCTTCCTCCCCAGCCCTTGATCAACAACCCTTCTGGCCCCATCAAAGGCAGCAGGAAGAAGGAAACCTTGGTTAATCCTGGGGAAATTATTTTGCTTTCCGCAGTGAGGAACAGTCAGCAGGCAGGCCTTTTAAGCCTTCGGTCCTGGCCGGCGGCCTTGCCTCGCACCTGGGGAGGCTCTGAGGCGGCAGAGGGCGAGGCTCTGGGGGGGTTCTCGGAAGCGCTCAGCCCCCCCCCCGCCGCCTCCCGAAGTCTAGGACTGCACTGGGAAAGCTCCAGGGCCTCCGCTGCGGAAGGGCCCGAGGGGAAGGGCGTCCTAGGGTCCTCCTATGGCTGCCCCTTCCCCTCTACACCCTACCCTGACGCTCCCGTGCACGACTAGATGTCCCGGGGCAGAAACGGGCAATCTTCTGCCGCTCCCCCAGCGCCACCGCCTCCCCCTGCCAGGGAGCCAGCCAACCCAGGGGGGAGGTTGTGCCCGGGCGACTCCGCCGGAGGCTGCCGCGGGGCTCTGAAGGGGCACTGCCCCCTCTCACCGCGCCTGCCCCTGCTGATCCCATTTGGGGGCGCAGCCAGCCCAGCCCCTCAGCCCAGCCTCCGCCTGAGGTATTCTCTCCCCCCCCCGCCTCGAGGCAACGGGTACAGCAGCGCCCCGACAGCGAAGTCAGGGGTGTTCGTAGGGCTCCACTTCTCCACGCCAGGGCGGGGCTTCGTGACTGAGGGGCGGGGCAGCGGGGCTCTAGCTGCTTTATCTGGGGTTCAGAGGTGCTGGGAATTGTAGATAGCTCCGTAGCCTGGTGAAGAAGCAACCGGACACTCGCTCCCGCCCCCCCTCGGGGAAGCTCAGTGGTCGCAAAGGGCCGGGGGGGGCTCTTGGAGTCCAGCGGCACCCCTGGGCGAGGTCCGACCCCTCCTGCAGGGGCGGGGCGGGGAGGGGGCGGGGCGGCGGTCCGGAGGGAGAGAGGAAGGCAGCTGCGGCGTCGCCCCTTCTTCCTCGCGCGGCCGTTTCGCTTTCGTTTCCCGCGAGGCTCCAGCTGCGGACTTCGGTGCCTCCGCCCTCCTGGCCTCCCTCACTCCTCCCGGGCAGAGTCTTGTGTTTTTCCGATGGCGGCGGCGGCGGCGGCGGCCGCCGTGGCGGTGCTCGGGGTCCCGTCGGACGTGGCCGATGAGCTGCTGGTGTTTTACTTCGAGAACCGCCGGCGCTCGGGCGGCGGGCCGGTGCAGAGCTGGCGGCGGAGGGGCGGCGGCTGCGCTACTCTAACTTTCGAGCGCGCCGAAGGTGAGGGTCGCGGCTGGAGGGAGGCTGGGGAGAAACGCCTTACGGCCCTGCTGCTCTGCCGGAAGTGGATCTCCGCGCCCAGCGCTCGCCTGCAGCCCCAAGGGTCGCCCCGCTTCCGCCGTGGCTTTCGCAAAACGGCTGCCCTCTTAGGAACCGCCTTTTCACGACATGGTTAACCCTACTGTGCCGTCCAGTTCTTTGGAGTCGCACAATATGTGGGTTTGTGCTGTACACTAAGCCACAGAGGCTACACCTTAACACCAATTGAGCTTAGCAGGAGTTACAAAAGCAGCAGATACTTGGGCTACAGATACCATGTGTTCTATGACTGAGGTGGTTGGGGATGATGGAAAGCATAGTCCACCGTGCAAGGGACCCAGCTGGCTACAGGGCTGGGCTCTTTAGTGCTCCAGCTTTGCCCCTGACAGGTTCCCCCAAACAGTTGGCTGGGCCCTTCTGGGCTTCTGAGGGGTTTGAGGCCCTGGGGGGGGGGTCACCTGGGCCTGCCAGCTTGGGCTCTGGCTGGGCCTGTCCATGGTAGCAGCTTGGCCGGCCTCTGGGGTGAGGACTTCACTTCTGGAAATCACCTTCTGGTTGTCTCCCTCGTAGATGCCCAGAGGGTCCTCTCCAAAACTGATCATGCCCTGCAAGGGGTGCCGCTGACGGTCCAGCCTGCTGCTCCTCGGGATTATGGGAAGCTGGTCCTCCAGGGCCTGAACCCCCAAAGCAGCCTGGAGCTGGTGGAACTGTACGTGGAGCACATGCTGGATTGCGAGAGGGATGCTTACTCCGTCTACCGCAGCCATGCCGGGGACCAGGCGCTGGTGCAGCTGCAGGCGGCGCTCAGCCACGCAGGTACTTGCTGAGGTCGCCCCTTCCCGCCCTCCCTCTCCAAATGCAGCCAGCGGAGTTTCCTTAGGCTCCCTCCCAGATGGGCACCTTCAGGGCCTTCCTGCACCCCAAATCTGGTTGCCACTAGGTGCCACGAGCCTCTTCTCTGCACCTGCCCCCATATTCTCCCCCCTCTCTGGAGAAACACCAGGAGAAACATGAAAAGTGACAAAGAAGCCACTGCCTGGCGAAATGTTGCAGTCCTACACTGGGGTAGATCACTTCGGCTGCTGCCTTTGGCCGGCTGGGATCGTGTGCCCACCAGGAAGGATCCTGCATTATGAGCAAAGTTGCCTGTCATCTGTCAGGGATTCCTGGCTTCGCCGGGCCTGGAAACCGGTCTCTGGCCTCTAGTTGTGTCATCATTTTCCAAAAGAGGGAGGAAGGTTACTTGGCTCCCCCCTGCTTAAAATTCCCAGAAAAGCCGAGTGGGAGATCTTTTCCCAGAAATCTGCCTGGGCTGGGAGGGAGGCTAACGGAAGGCAGTTCTTAGGGCAAAGTTGAAGGTTTGGCTGCCTTGATGGAATTCCTCTGCTTTCCTGGCAGAGTTCTTGGTGCTGGCGGACCATGTGCAAAGCCGGGTACTGGACGGGGCCAGCCTGGTGCTGGACTGGGTGGAGCAGACAGACAGCATCCTGGTTCAGAGTCACCACGGCAACCAGCTGCAGCCAGAGGTGCTGACCCTCTACTTTGAGAGCAGGCGGAGTGGCGGGGGCCGCCTGCAGGCAGTGCGGCTTCTCCTGGGAGGCACGATGGCCGTGGTATCCTTTCAGGATCGCACAGGTGAGGACTGCCCGAGACGCGTTCTGCTTCGGCACGTCTCCTGCCTCCGCTTCCAGGAGGTGCTGATCCTCTGATCCTGCTGCCTTCGTGTCCCTCAGTGGTGGATCGGGTACTGAAGCAGCCCCATCAGCTCCCGGATGGTCGTCTGAAGGTCTCCCCTCACTACGACTTCCTGGAGCCCCCAGAGGCAGCATCAGAGCTGCAGGCAGGAGGAGCTGAGCCGGCCCCATGCACCACCCTTCCTATCCCGGAAGCAGCAACAAGGCGCCTGCTGCAGTCCAAGAGCGTCCTGCAGGAGCTGGGGGCCTCTGCTCCCGAATGCGTGCTTCACTGCGGAGAGGTTGGGCTGCACATCTCAGGCGGGGATCCGGTTCATCGGCAGCAGCTGCGGGAATACATCCAGGCAGCCTTGCATGCAGTGGTGCAGGAGCGGTTGCCCTCCTCAACCTGGGTGCGTGAGTTCTTGCAGTGGGCAAATGTGCAGGAGCACCTGGCGGAACAGCTTGCTGAGCGCGGGGTGGGCGCCTGCTACATTCCCACCGCAGAGGAGGTGTTAGTTGTGGCCTTGAGGCCTTCTGTGGCTCAGCTGGCCGCTTCCCTCCTGGACTCCTTTCTCAGGTCCATCTCCCTGCCGTTGTCCGAGAGGCAGTTGCTGGCCTTGACATCCCCTCGCTGGGCCCAGGTGCAGGCGGGACTGCGCTGCTGCCTCGTGCAGCTGGCTGAAGATGGGGAGCACCTGGAGGGCCTCACCCTGCCTGGCCTGGAAGAGGAGAACATGGCTGAGCTGAAGCGAGGCCTGCAGGACTGCCTGCCGGATGAGATGCTGGTGACCACGGAGCCTGGCCGTCTTCATTACCTTCAGCTCCATTGCCAAGAAATGCTGGCTGGCTTGACTGATGTCACACTGCTGCCCCTGGAAGGATCCGAGGTCACTGGCTTGCGGGTAAATGTAGTGCAGTTGCCTGCAACACTCTGGGTGCCAAGCATTTGCCAGCTCTGTCCTGCTTTAGTGTCCCCCCTTGTGCCAGCTGCCATGGGTCCTTGGGCACTGGGCTAAAGGCCCACTTCCGTAGCCAAAGAAGGGGGTGGGTTCAGATCCTGCTTTTGCCAGCCTTTTGTCAAACAGAACAAGTTAGCTTGAGAAAATACACACGGTGTCTTTTTGTGCAGCTGAACGGTGAATCTTGGGCGTGCCGAGCCGCGACTGACCTCCTTCAGAGTCTGCTGCATGCCATCTGCGTCCGGACTGTAGCGTTGCATCTTCCTGGTGTGAGCCGCTTCTTGTTGGAGGAGCGTGGCCAGACCATCCTGCAGGGCCTGGAGAGGAGCTTCCGCTGTGCCTTTGGGCTGGAGCACGTCCAGTGGCATTCCCCAGAGACCCAAGTGTGTACCCTGGAGGAGGGGATAGGGCTCAGGAAGCGCAGCGGGGCCAGAGGCTAGAGTGCTGAGCTGGAGGGGAGAGAAAAGTTTGAAAAGCGGAGGGCTGCCTCTGAAGGACCTCTCTCCCCCTTCAGCATGAATGGGAGACCTCACAGGAGCCAATTGCTGTCCTATACCAGCGAGATTCCCTGCGTGGCCTCAAACAGCAGCCAAAGAGCCCAGTCGGGGTGACCAACCGGCAAAGCGAAGCTAACCTGGGTAATATCTATCCAGCTGTCCGCCCCTGGAGGTGAAGGACAGCAAGGGGCATCTGCCCTCCCCTTCCTGCTCTGAGGTTGGAGGTTGGGGTAGCTTTAGGGTTCCCCCTTTCTGTGCAGGCCCCCCTTGTGTTGCTGCTTTTCTGCTCAGCTGGGTCCCCCTCTCCTTACAGAAGAGATCAAGGGCCTTCTGGCTGCCCTCCAGCCTCCCGGCGTGGCTCTTCCCGCAGCAGGGGAACAGGAGGAGACAGACACAGCCCTGGAGCCTTTGGCAGAGGCTCCCCCTGCCTTCGAGCAGCAGACCAGCTTGGCTGACCTAGACGCAATAGAAGAAGGGCCCTTGCCTGTCCCAGGCCCCATTCCGAGCATGGCAGTGGAGGAGGACGAGGACGCGCAGCTGCTCCTGGCCATCCAGCAGTCCATGGACAGTGCTCGGCAGGAGATGGAGGAGATGGAGCTTGCCACTGAGCTCTCTCTGCGCTCCTTCAAGCAGGAGCAGCCCTCCAGTTCAGATGCCGACATCCTGTCTGTCATGAGGGCCTCTCTGGAGACCGCGGGTGCAACCCGTTTGGAGGTCTACACCGCCTTGGAGGAGGAGGCAGAGGCTGTGGTGCAGGAGCTGGAGTGTGCCCTGCGTGTGCAGCTGCGGGAGGAAAAGGTGCAGAATGAGGCCCTCCTGTCCCTGCCCGCTCTCTGCCTGGACTACCTGACCTACCTGGAGAGGAAGCATGCAGTGAGCATCACGCTCGCTGGCTCCGTGGCCACTGTGTCGGGCTTCCTGGACTACCCTGTGGCCGCCACCCGAGACCTCGCCCTGCTGCTGGCCCGGCTGCTGCACACGGAGGTGGCCGTGGGTTATGGGGATGCCCGCTGGGTCCGCTGGGAGCCCTCGGAGCAGGGCTTTCCCACCCCCTATTCGGCCCAGGCCAGCACCTTGCTGGAGCAAGCATGGTGCCGCGGCCACAAGCGCATGGAGATGTTCTTCGATGGGCGGCCTTTTGCTGTGGACTTTGAGCGGATGGAGGAGTATGATGTTGGCAACAGCCGCACTCTGCCCATTGGCCGCACAGAACTCCAGCTGCCACTTGCTTCCACAGGTAGATGCCCTACGCAGTGTGTCTCTCCCGACGGGTTTCTGGTGCCCCTGTTCTGTGGCAGCACAGGCCTCCTTGGCCATGCAGCGTGCCCCCGCCTGGTCTTGGGGGGGGGGGGATAGCAGCTGTCTCTTCATGGACTGTGCTTCTCTGCAGCTCTGCTAGACCCCACAGCTGAGGGCGAAGTAAAGCTGCTTCCACTGACTGAGGACTCGGAGGAGTTTCAGAGGACCGTCCAACACTTCTACGACACTCTGGATGGGCTTCACCGCAAGATCTGGATTGTCAAGGTGGCTGTTTGTCTCCATCCCTTTCAGCAGAGGGGCAGCACTTGCAGGCCGCAGACCCCATCCCGGAGACGTGGAGGCAGAGCAGAGCCCTATCTGGCCTTGAGGCTGGATGGTGGGGTCTCAGCAAGGTGCCTGCGGTCCCTCGGGTGGGGATTCTGAACGAGAAAGGGGGTGATGCTGGAGGCAGCTCAGGTTTGGGATCAAGCGGGCCCTGGTCCCCCAAGCTGAACGTGGCCGGTGTGGCAGGGAGGGGAAACAAGCTGGACGTGGGGCTGACTCGTCTGCTTCCTACTTGGCAGCTAGAGAAGGTGATGCACCCACTGCTTTACCAGCAATACCAGCTGAAGAAGGCTGCCATGGAGAAGGCCTGTGGGGATCGGGCAGTGGAGCGGATCCTGTACCACGGTACAACAGAGCAGTCCAGCCATGAGATCTGGCAGCACGGATTCAACCGCAGCTTTTCTGGCAAGAATGGTCAGTTTGGCTGCATGGAAAGGAACCCCTCCTTGGGGGCTCTAAGGGGGGGCAAGGGGGCACCCTCTGCGCTGGCTGTCTGGCTAGTCCTGGGGGGGTGCCCATATCCATTCTGGTTTCTTCTGAAAAACATCTAAGAGCTCGCTGTATGGAAGCTGGATCACTGGGGTGGCTTGAAGGTGGCTCTACCAGCCTTAGGATCCGAGGGTGCCAATGCCAGCCTAAGGCAAGTGGCTCGCTGAGGTGCCCGGCACCAGTCAATGCCCAGCCCGTCTCTAGACAGAGAAAGAGTGGACAAGATGGCGTGAAGGTTGCTTTTCTGCATTTGGCCTCTTGAAGGGCTCTTGAAGGCCCCGTTAGCTGCTGGCCTGGCTCAGGCCTCGCGTCCTCTTTGCCAGCAACTGTCTGAGAGACTCTGAAGGGGCTGGTGGGCACACTCCCCATGTCTGAGAGGGCAAAGTCAGCGCTCCACAACTTTATACGTGAGATATTTATTCTGCATTATTCAGAACTAGACCTTGCATGATATGTTTTGTTAGTTGTAATGTGGCGGGATAACTGATCCTTTGTCTTTTGTTTGAATTTTCATACCTTAATAGACGTTAGAGATTTGTCATATAATCTCTATAAATGTCCGTACATTTGTGGTAGATTATTCACTGTATTCCGATCTGTCTGGACGCTTTTGCTTATTTTACATAAGTTTACCTTGCTCTGTGCTGGCCACTGATTGAATAACTCCTTTCCCTTCCCCTATTGCCAGCCACACTCTATGGCCACGGCGTCTACTTTGCGGTCAAGGCATTTCTCTCGGCGCAGGATCGGTATTCCCCTTGCAGCCCTGATGGCAACAAATACATCTTTGTGACCCGGACGCTGGTCGGGGACTACACAGTGGGCAACGCCAGCATGCGAGCCCCGCCTCTACGGGAAGGAGATGCCGCCCTCCGGCGGTACGACAGCACGGTGGACAACCTGAGCGAGCCTTCCATGTTTGTCATCTTCAACGACACCCAGGCGTACCCCGAATACCTCATCACCTGTCGGTGGGTGGAGTCAAAGAGGAGGCCTCCTCAGACTGCCCGCTTGTCGCCCTGGTGAAGGGCAGCCGGTTTTCCGCAGGGGAGTTCTTGAGCTAGCGGGATTGCTCGGCGGGCAAGGGCAGAGCTAGGGAGGACAATGTGGCTCTGCAGTGGGAACGGTTCACAGGGGGCAAAGCCGGGCGGTGCCCACCACAGACTACCAGAAGCCCCCACCTCCCCCCTCTTCCTGGATGGTGGGCCGTGGGGCAGCGTTTGGAGGGCTCCCTCACTGAGGTCCTCCAGGCAGCCCCCAGGGGATGATTGTGTCACCTAAGTAACACACAGGCCTCCTGCTCTTCAGGCGCTTCCCCCCCTTTTTTAAAATAACTGGTTGTTTTCTTTAAAGCTACAGATGGGAATAAAAATAAACATAGAACTTGATTAAAGAAAATCAGCTATAAAATACGAAACACAAAAAGGGCAGGAGAAAAGAAAGAAAATATTCTATTTTCTTTTTTACAACCCGTCGATGTGCAAATTAGTATATTCAGTTTTTCAACAAGAAATTGAACTTTGACCAGCCAGAATCAAAGTTTTTAATTTTTGTCAAAAAAAGAACCAATTTAAGGACAGAGTTGCCAGATTTAATCTAACCAATCCTTAAAATCTAATGCAGGCCCTTCCGTCGTTGCATTCTTGACTCTTTGGTAACAGTCTGAGCAGAATACATCCAGAGCCTGTAAGCAATGTAAAGTCCAACTGCTGAGATAAAATCGAACAATTGTTCAATTCTCCCTCAAACCTTGAAAATTCAGTTTTCAATTCCAAATTTTTGAATAGTATTAACAGTGTATGATTTTTTTCTTCCTATCATTTTCCTGAAAGTACAGAGTTCACATTTTTTTCAGATCAACTGAGAGTTGATCCATTAGTTGTGACAGGAATTGATCAACCGGCTTGTTGCCTAATCCTGGCATTGCGGGCTGAGAGAGCGTGATGGCCCAAGGTCACCCAGCCAGTTTTCATGCTAAGAACTAGAACTGGCCATCTCCTGGTTTCTAGCCTTCGCTACTGGACCAAATTGGCAACAGAACAGGAATAGGAACGGAACGGAATAGAACAGACCCTTGGAGTCTGCGAGTCCAGCCCCCTGCTCAAGCAGGAGAACCTATACCGTCTCAGACAGGTGAATGTAACTAGTGGTCTCTTCTTAAAAACCTCCAGTGATGGAGCGCCCACGATTTCTGGGGACAAGCTGTTCCGCTGGTTAATTGTCCTCACTGTTAGGATGTTTCTCCTTAATTCCAGGTTGCTTTTCTCTTTGGTCAGTTTCCATCCACTGTCTCTCGTCCTGCCCTCTGCTGCTTTGGTGAAGAACATGACCCCCTCTTCTTGGTGGCAGCCCCTCAAATACTGGAATACTGCTATCTTGTCTCCCTTATTTCTTCTTTTCTTTAGACTAGCCAAACCCAAGTCCTGCAGCCAAGTCCCCCAGGACTTTGATCATCTTAGTTGCTCTTCTCTGAACTTTTTCCAAAGTCCCAACATCCTTATTGTAGTATGGTGACCAAAATTGGCTGTAGTATTCCAGGTGTGGCCTCACTAAGGTTTGATAATGCAGTAATAATACTTACCGTGATCTCGATTCTATGCCTTGTTTATACAACCCAGGATTTTATTAGCATTTTTGGCTGCTGCTGCTGCACACTGCTGGCTCATAGTCAAGTGATCGTCCACTAGGACTCCAAGGTCCCTCTCACAGTTGCTGTTTTTGAGCAGGTCTCGCCCAGTCTGTACTTGTACCTTTGATTTTTCGTCCCTAACTGTAAAACTTAGCTCTTCTCCCCATTAAATTTCATTTTGTTGGATAAGGCTCATCATTCAAGTTTGTCAAGATCCTTTTGGATAATGAGCTTGTCTTCCTGCCAGTTTGGTGTCATCTCCAAATTAAATGTTCCCTTTTATTCCCCCATCTAAGTCATTCATGAAGATATTGAAGAGTCCTGGGCCTAAGACGGAGCCTGTGGTACCCCACTGCTTACTTGTGGATGTGGTGCCATTAAGGACTACTTGCCGAGTACAGTTTGTCAGCCAGCTACAGATCCATCTGGTAGTGATGTTGTCTACTGTATTCCACATTTTTCTAGCTTGCCAAGAAGTAGGTTGTGGCCTACTTTGTCAAATGCCTTACTGGAGTCTAAGTATACTGTGTCCACAGCGTTTCGCTGGTCTACTAATTTATTCACTTTATCAAAGAATGAAATAAGATTGGCTTGGCATGATCTTTTTGACAAACCCGTGCCGGATACTAGCTATAACTTTGTTTGCTTCTAGTTGTTCACAGATATTTTTTTAATCTTTTCCAAGATCTTCTCAGATATTGATGTCAGACTGATTGGTCTATAGTTTTCTGGGTCTGTTTTTTTTTCTCCTTTCTTGAAGATGGGAACCACATCAGCCCTTTTCCAATCCTCAGGTGCTTCCCCAATGCCCATGGATTTTTGAAAGATATGGTGCAGTGGTTCTGAGATTCGTCAAGGTTGGATAGGTGTTCTCTTACCATTCTCTTGCTTATTTTGATATTTGTTTCCAGTATGTCTTTTGCAGTGTTGGTTTTTTTTTTTTTGGGTGTGTTGGGCTATAATTTCTTTTTGTGTGAAGACTGATGCAAAGAATGAGTTAAGCAGCTCTGTTTTCTCCCTATTGCTTGTTACTTCCTTGCCATCTTCTCTCTTTAGTGGACCTTCAGGTTCCTTGACTTTTTTTCTTGTTATTAATATGTTGAAAGAAACTTTTTTTTATTAGCCTTGGCTTCTCCTGCAATTCTTTGTTTATTCTGAGCCTTTGCTTTCCTGACTTCATCTTTGCGTGTTCTGGCTGTCTGCTGATAAAGCAGAGCAACTTGGCCCTCTTTCCCCTCGCGCTCTCTCCGCTTCCAGAGGAATAGCAGTTGCACTGAGACTTCGTAGTGCTGGGAGTTGGTCCACAAGACTTGAAAGTTGGCAACACATCCCCGCACTAGAAAAACCTTGTGTCACCTTGTGTGTTTGGCCTGACAAAAGAGAAGACTGAGGAGACACCTGATGTCAGGGTTCGTATACATTAGAAGGTGCTACAAAGAAGAGGGCATGGCCACAAAAATTAGGTAGAGAAAAAATGGGCATCCATCTCCTTAGGGAAGTTGTGGGTTCTCCATCTTGGTGGTTTAAGAAGAGGCCAGCCTGGAGGATGGTTTAATCACTTCTCCTGCACATTCTGTGATCTGGGCGGCCCTGTCAGAGATGTGGTCCTTGGCTCCGTTTATTGAAAAAGGTGTATTTTTATTGAGTGCATTGCAGAACTGCATTGCCAGAACTGAGTATCACACACCAATATTCCTAAGTCCATTTTTTTCCTCCCTTAGACGCACACACACAAAATCAGGTTCAAGCAAGATGTTTTGAGAGTGGTCACTTCAAGCACAGGTTGGGTATGCAGCTGCCACCACCTAGCTGGGTGCCCTTAAAGCAGTAAGCTGTGTGTGTGTGTGTGTGTGTGTAAGGACCCACCCCACTTTGCATCTTAAGAAGACAGAACTCTTGGAATAATTCTTCCAACAGGAATCCTTTATTAAGAGAAAATGGTTGCAGGCATGCTAGACAGGACTTGGGGTTCAAGCTCTTCCATTCAAGGTTTTAAGGGGTTCCCCAGTAGTCCCACCCAATCAACCCCCCTTCCAGTGATAGTTTCAAGTATCACAATTCCACCCCCTTTCTTCTTTCTTCCGTCTGCATGGGGACTTCAGATAACTACATGAAAGGCAACTACCCTCCTTTGGTATGTTAACGCTTCGAGGTTACAATAAACACACATTCAGCATTCAGCTCTTTGAAGTGTAAAGAAGGAAGTGAGGGCCATAAAGCCCCTTTGTTCTCCCCCTTCTCTCCCTCTTATGGCAGAATCCAGAGAAGGCAGAATTGGGAGTTTCTATATTTGATAATTTAAAGATGAAATATAATTGGATTCTGACAGTGTGTGTGTGTGTGTGAGAGAGAGAGAGAGAGAGAGATCTTTTCCCCCCAAGCTGCAGTCACTTTCACTTTCCCCCCAAGCAGCCCCCCCCTTCCCACGGCTGAAGGCAGGCGGTCACCACAGCATGGAAGCTCAGGCGAGAGGAAGGGGGCAGCTGACGGGAAACTGCACAACTTCCAAGATTCTATAGAGAAAGTTCATTAACGTTGACGTGATTAGTCTGACCAATTAGATTTAACTGAAGGGGAAGCAACAGGAACAATAGAGAAAACATGACTACCCTATTACACGGGCTTCCTGGTGTCAATGAAAACAGAGGGAGCAAACCGAGCCCTGGAGTTCAGGAGTTTCATAAACCCAGAGCGGAGGAAGGACACAGCACGCACCATCTTCAGGCCAACCGCGGCAAGGCAGCCTTGAGGCCGTCTGGCCCCACTCCTTGCTCAGGGCAGGAACCCATATTCAGGCCTCCGGGGTGGGGAAGCCGATGCCCCAAGAGCGCCCCGCTCTCCAGGCGAAGCCGCCGATGCCCGGGCCAGGACTCGCCGAGCGCCCCACGGAGGGAGGCAACGGGGTCCTGAGCGCGCCCACCGCTCCCTTCCAGGCAGCCCGCCCGCCTACTCTCCTCGGCCGGGAGGGGGCGCTCCAGGCGGGGGCCCGTTCTTTCCTGGGGCAGAGCCAAGCGCGGGGCGGAGGCGAGGCCGGCAGGTCCGTGACTTTGTGTGCCGGGCGAGGAAATGCCCGGGTCCCCGGGGGCCCTTCTTCCCGGATTGCTCATGGCTGGCGGAACATCTGGCGGCGGCCGGGGGGGGGGGAGAGTTCCAAACAACAGAAAAACAACTGTGTGAAAAGGGAAACGAGGCGGGGCGCTGCCTCCGGGACCCCGGGCAGAGGGGCCCCGAGCATCTGGCCGGGCTTTGGGGCTGGCTCTCTTGTGCAGGGGTGCGGAGACTTTTTGCCCTGCCCCTCCCCGAGACTGATGCCCGGGCATTCCCAAATGGGGCCCCGGGGGGGGGGGAACTCTGGCTAGGAAGTCGGTGCTGCTCAAAGGAGAAGACCGGCGGCCTCTCCCTCTCGTCCCCCCCCCCGCCGCTGCACAACAAACTGAAAGCAAGTTAAGCCCCTCCCCAAAATGTCCCTACAAACGGCGGGGGAGTCATGCTGCGCCCCCTCCCTCTCTCCCTGCCCAAAGGACCAGGGCGGTGCGGAGCAAAGGGGCGCTGTCCCTCCCCCCCCCCGGGCGGATCCTGGCTGCGGCGGCTGCTTTCCATGGAGGCAGCTTTTCCGAAAGGGGGGGGGGCAGAGCAACCTGGAGCCGAGCCTCGACCCTTCCCTCCGCGAGCCCGGATCTGGCATCCCTGGCCCCCTCCGCTGCTGGAAGGCGGCTTGGCCAGCAGGGGGCAGGAGCACCACGTGCACCCCTCCGCCCGGAGCAAAAGGCACAGAGCATGCGCAGAAGGGGGTCAGGCGGGGGGGGGACGCTCTTCCTGGGGCTGAGCCCCGCGGTGGGCAGCGCAAAGGGCTCGGTGGAGCTCCGAGGACGCGGCCGGGCTTCCGGGGTGCTTTCTGGCCCTTTGATCGGCAGTGGCTTTTGGGCGAGGCTGGCTGCGCGGGTGCCGGCGGCGCCCTCCTGCCTTGAGCGTGCCCAGCCTCCCTTGGCTGGGAGGGGGGAGGGAGGGGCTGGGCGCGGAGCAGCCGGCGCGTTCCGAGCCTTGCCCCTCCCACGGGGGTGGGGGGGATTCTCCGCCCCCCCCAGCTGCACCCAGCCCGTTCCCCAGCTTGGCCTTCCTTTCTCCGGCTTCTGCTAAACCGGGGGGGGAGCTGTTGTGCCCTTCCACTGACAGAGAGACCCCCGGCCCCTTCGGCGTCTTTTCTCCTCTGCAGCCCCCCCCCCGGTCGGAAGGGATCCGGCGGGCCAGCCAGAGAAGAAGTGTGGGAGGGAGGGGGGAGAATGGCCCTGCCACGCTGGTCCCGTCCAGTGGGGCTGCCTCGGAGGGGTCCCACCGAAGGCCGGAGAGCCAGTCCAGCAGCTGCTCAGCTGAGAAGGCCAGCAGTGGTGAAATCAAGAGCTATTCAGCTTCTATTTTACTTTGTTTAAACTAGCAAATCAGAAAGTTATGCTTTTCACCAGAAAAATTTGAAAAGCAGGCTAAAGGGTCAGAATTGAAGCTTCAGTTTGTTAAGGCTTCAGCTTTAAGGTGGATTAGTTTAAATCCCCAGGATTAGATGAGTAACAGCTTACTGCAGGAGGCTAAAGGATCAAAGGTAAATCTTGCTGGTCTCTTTCAGAAATTCTGAAGTTTTGGTGAAGTAGCCCCGACCTGCAAATATCCTGATTTTCAAGAATGGGAGACAAGGTCCAAGAACTATAAGGCTGAGAAGAATGTTTGAAAAATCTTCAAGCAATGAATCCGTAAACAGATTGAAAACAACGGAGTCCATAAACAAATCTTATTTTTTAGTTGGATAATTTCCTTAGCGCAGGGCTTTTCAACCAGTGGTACGGGTCCTACCTGTGGTACATTGGCACCTGGCAGGTGGTACGCGACCATCCTAGAAAAGTAGCGGGGGAGGGGAATGATAGCACCACACAAGCCTGAGCGAGAGAGGGCTGGAGCTACAGTGCTGTCAGGGCTCAGCGGAAGCACCAGGATCAGTGCCTCTTTCCAGCTGATTGGCGCTTCTTCAGGGCTGTCAGGGCTTAGTGGCAGCGCCAGCTGGAGCTGAGCCCTGATCCTAGCGCTTCTGCTGAGCCCAGAAGCACCAATCAGCTGGAAAGCAGCACTGATCCTGGTGCTTCTGCTGAGCCCTGAAGAAGCTCCGATCAGCTGGAATGTTGCAGCATCTCCAGGGTCTTGTGATTTACATTCAGATGCTAGCCAACTGATTCATATTTATGAGGGTCACAGTGTCCCAGGGTCATGTGAAGTTACCAAAAACTGCTGCAACCACCCAGCAGACGGGGGGGGGGAGTAAAAACCAAACACCCCCACCCCACTCAACAGAAATGCTCACAACTATGAAAACCTCAAACAGGAGGAAGAGAGCCACGGGGGAGGGGGACAGGTGTCTTGCTCGGCTGTGGCTTGGGGGGCACTTTTTTCAGTGCCATTGTAACTTCGAACAGTCACTAAGCAAACTGTTGTAAGTCAAGGACTACCTGTACTTTTATCACTTTTTTCCTTTTTTTTTTGGGTCATCACGTTTTTGACCCTTTGCTAGGCGACTGGTGGTATTTGGATGTTGCCATACCCTAAAAGTGGTACAATGGGTGAAAAGGTTGAAAAGCCTTGCCTTAGCAGACTGTGGGAATGCTATATACATAATTGGGGTTTTTTGCACCCTGTTTGACGAAGGAGTGTAACTCACAAGATTTTAATTAATGATTCTTTTAGGTATGGCTTGGAGGGCATCACAATTAAGTGGATACATAAAGGTTTCTTCAATTCAAACTTTGCAAAGATCACTTTTGCATCCTATAATTCTTTCTATGTTTCCCTTTATAATATAGATGACATAGAAGGAATGGTTGCCAAGTGATACAAAATTGGACATTATTTTTAAAAGTTCAAATAAAATTTAGAAGCTAACTAAATGGACTGACCAAAACAGAGTGGAATTTAACAGCGGTAAGTGCACAGTGCTTTATTTAGGAAACCAATTAAATTCAGAGAGAGGGAAGATTGGGCGATGTCTGGTTGACAAGAAAAACATGTAGAACAGAAGCCGAGTGCTGACTAAATATATCAGTCGGGAGGCAAGACAGGACAGGGGAAAAATAAACTTCAGCTTCATCACTTCATCAATCAATTCGTCCTGCTTCCTGGTTATGGGCAATAAGTGTTTTTGTCATATTGTCTTAAACTTTGTCAGCTGCGCAGAGTCCAAGGGGTGGCTACAGAAGCTGAAATTATAAAGTAAATGAGATCCCACTTTTCAGTGGAAAACTTCAAACATGGCAGAGATGTTCTAGTAGTTCAATGTTTCTCAACCTCGGCAACTGTAAGACGCGTGGGGCTTCAATTCCCAGGATTCCCCCCAGCCATGCAGCCATCCCTGTTCTGGCTAGGGAGGAATTCTGGGAGTGAAGCCCAACCAGCTCTCTAGTTGCACCGGGGATCCCCCAGGGGAGGGATTGGACCAGATTATCCCCTCCAACATTTAGCGAGAGAACTTTGGAAGAGGCCTGATGAAGACGTCAACTCCTCTCTGACTCTGGAAGAGCAAATTACGGTGAAGACGAAGAACCGCAGATCCGGCTGGCTTCCTCCCACCCCTTTTGAACAGGCGAAACAGGCGTCTTCAGTGCCTGTCCGGCATCCCCGGTTAGATCCCGAAGCCCAGATCCCTGCAGGAGACCAGAAAGGGATCTGAGAGAAAATAGGCCAAAGGGGGATTCCTAGACTACGGGAGCCCTTTCACCGCTCTGGCCCCACAGCTCTGGCCCCACTGCCGGAGGGGTTAAAGCCCTGGGCCGCCTGGCTGACTCAGAGGGAGTGGCCTGCTGGGGGGGAGGAGGAGGAAAAGGAGGGGCCACGCACATCTGGAACCCATCTGGCCCAGCAGCAGACAGGGAAGCCAGTGAGGGTTAATAGGGCCGGCACACCCGCTGCCCTCCCGCCCCCCCTCCTCCCCTTGCTGCTGGGTGCAGTGGCGTGGCGTGGCTCGCGTGGCACAGCGGAGCTGAGCATGGCCTCCTTGAGCCAGTGGACCCCAACTGATCCTGCCTGGCTCCACGTTGCTTGTGTGGCTGGCCTGGTGCTGGGCTCTCTCTGGGTGTGGGCCCTCTTCCTGGTCTGCTCCTGGCAGGGTCACCCACCGCCCAGCCTCTGGTCAGGTAGGTGGGTGGGTGGGTGGATGGGTGCCAGGCCAGGCGCGGCCCTTTCTGGGCGGACCAGATGGCGATGCTGAGATCCGGGAGAAGAGCCAGTAGCAACTCTCTCTGCTTCCCTCCTCTCTGGGCAGTCGAGGTGGGGGTGGAGGAGCGCATGTATTCCCCCCTCCCCTGTTGGCTGTGCCTTTGCCCAGGTTAAATGCCCGGCCAGCAGAGGCAGAGCCCTTCCCTTCCAAGGGGGCAGCGCTTTCCCCCCGTCTTGCCAGCAGGAGACTTGCAGAGTCTCTCCCAATTCAGAGGGCCGGAGGGCGGCTGCTCACTGCAGAGGCAAAGCCGGGCCGCTTGAAAGGGATTTGGCCAAGGGACGCTCCTTGGTGGACCAGCCAACATCCTGGACATGTGATGTCTGCAAATCCAAGGCCCAGAAAAGCGAGGGGGAGGCGTTGCAGGAGGAGGCCTAAATGCTTTTGTGGAGCACACACACACACCCGCGTCCTTTTCTGCCCCCTCCCCCGTATTGGACATCAAGAGTCCGGAAGGAGGGAGTCGTGAGAGGGGGGAGCCTCTCATGCAATGGGGAGGGCCTGAAGCCGAGTGGTGCCCCATCATGCCCCCTCCCCAGGACAGCCGAGGAAAGCCTCAGCCTTCGCGCAGGAGCCTCCCAAGACCCGAGATGGGCAGGGCAGAGGAGCAGAAGGCCAGGTGGGGCCCCTCCACATCCGGCCCTCTGCTCAGGCATCTTTGGCCCAGGCAGAGACCTTGTGCCTGCTGAGGGGGCAGTGGGACGCAGACAGACAAGCCACTGCCACAGAGGGGTACAGGGTAGCCGTCACCTGGGCCCATTTTGAGGGTGCAACTGGAGAGGAAGCAGTGGGGTGGGGCGCTGCAGCCTCCCTGGATGGAGCTTGGAAGACCCCAGGAAGATGGGCAGCTAGCCTGGGGCCCGGCCGTGGGGGAGGATTTGCACTTTCCGCTGAAGGTTGGAGAAGAAAGCCTGCAACTGCCAGCTAAAGAGAGCCCTCCCCTCCCCCTCCCTCCAGCCTTGCACCCCTAACTCTCTCCTCTTCTGTCTGCCAGGATCGCGGCTGGGAGGAGCCAGGTCCTTGGGCCCCTCAGAGGTAAGCTTTGCTCTTAGGCACCCATGCCCTAGAGGGGCCTAGAAGCCCTCCTGGATGCCCACCGGCTCTCCCTTGAAGAACCCTGGAGCACAGCGCCGTGCCCGTGGCAAGGGGCTGCAGACACCGGGCCTTCGCCCTTCTCTGCCACAAGCAGGTCAAGCACCCTCAAAGGCGTCATTGTGCAGCCCCCTGGCAAGGGGGGAGGGAAGTTCTGCCCACAACTGCAGAGAGCACAGAAGGCTATTGGTGGGGGAAAGGGCCTCCGCCAGCGACTGGCACGCAGCCATCCCTGGGCACTTCCCACCTCTCGGGCAGGCAGGCAGTTAGGAGGGGTCAGGAGAGCTGGGCACCCCTTGAGGGGCTGCAGGACTCGCTACCCTTCCTCTCTTTGCATCTCCAGAAGCGTCGGAAAAAGGCATCCAAAGCCAAGCCACGCAGAGAACAGGCCGGGAAGTCTGCCCCAGGCGTGGGTCTCCCTCCAGCTGCCAAGGAGCAGGTAAGGGGATTCCAGCCGGGGGCACAACCATGGGCAGCTTAGCCAGATGAGCTCAAGGCTTCCCCAGGCCACAACTGCACCTGCAGCCTGGGGGGGGGACAAAGGTTTGAGCTGAGTCCCAGGGAAGATTTCTCTGTGCCTGGAGAGAAGATTCTCCTGGCACCAACTGGGGGCCTCTGAGCACCTGCATTTCTGGGTCCCCGAAAGCTTCCAGCCTCCCCTCCCCCACATGGCACTGTCTGACTGCCTGGACCTCGCCTCTCTTCCCTAAACTACCCTGCCCTCCATTCTGGGCTAATCCCTGCAGGTCAGTTGCAGAGCCCAAAGGGCTGGTGGGCCCAGCCCCCTTGCCCACAGAGGGCCTTCAGAGCTAGAAGCGGGTCTGCACCTGTTCCTGCCCTGTGGCCTCACCTGTCATTGCATCTCTGGCCTCCTTGGTTAACCTGGACATTCTCAGGCAGAAGCTCACCAGGACAGGGGTCTTCACCCCCCACCGCCCCCAGCCTGCCCCATCCCACGAGCCTCGCTACTTTGGCTGGGCCTCTCAGCTCCCTTTAGCCTAGGCTGCTGGGTCCTGGCAGAGCCACGGCCGGAGCCCTCGCCAAGCGCCTGCCTCGGGGCCTGGGTGGGGCTGCGGGACGCCGGTCCTGACAGAGGAGCCTTGTTCTCGGCCGCCTGGACCCTCCTCCGCCCCTCCCGCCCGCCGTCTTAGCCAGCCCGGCGCCCGCGCCACCCAGTCCTCCGCCTGCATCGACCCGCTTCACCGGCTCTCGACGGCCCCCGAGTTTGCCCCGGCTTCCGGATGGAGCCGCCCCGTCGGCGCTTCGCTCTGCCGCTCTGCCCCGCCTGCTGCTTCAGGAGGCCGGTAGGTTTGGCCGGCGCTGGGGGGGGGGGAGGGAGACGGTGGCTCCGTCGCCCTCCCTCTCCGCCCTCCTGCTGGAAGGCCGCGACCGGCCGGGACCTGCAGCTGCCGAAGCAGGTCGGGCACCCGCGCACGCCGGGCAATGGCGAGCCGAGGTCCGGGGCGGGGCCTGGGCACCGGCAGGTGGGGCAGGAGGCGGGGCCACCGGGGGAGGGGCGCCCAGGTCAGGCCCCCGCGTGAGCACCGCCACCGGCGGGGGCGCGGGCAGGTACCGGAGGCGGCCCAAAGAAACGAGGAACAGCTGGCAGGCGCCGAGCCGAGCCGCGTCCCGCCTGCTCCGCGGGCTTCAGGCCAGATCCTGGGAGGGCAGAGTCCAGCGTCACCGTCCTCCCGGCAGGGAAGGCAGAAGGCTCTGCGGGGAACGGAGGCGCGCGGCGCAGCCCCGACGGGGTCCGGACGGAGCTTCGCTGCGGTGCAAGCAGCCGGTTGAAGACTCCCCCTCCCTTCCCGGGAAGCGGCTCGCGCTGCCCCAGTCTCAAGGAGCAGCTGTCGCGGTCTTCGGAGGCGGGAGGGCGGCGAGGGGCCGAGCACGGTAAGGGCGGTGCATCTGGACCCGCCACGTCCCGCCGGCCCCCGACGACCGACCTCCTCGGGAGCGGCGGGGCTTGCGCGTCCCAGGGGGCGACTCGGACCCAGAAGTCCCGCAAAGGGTCCCCAGCTCCGCCTGATCGGCCCGGGCTTTGCCCCCCGCCCACCGGCAGCTACGTTCGGGGTCTCCGCGGTCGAAGCGGGGGCGGGACCGACTCCGGCGTCCCTGGCGGGCGAATCGCCCTCGGCCGTTCCCGTCGGCTGCCCTCCCGCCCCGAGGCGCCCCCTCCTGCCCGACGGGGAGGCGCTTCCCGGCGAGCGCTCGGCCGCTGCCGGCCCCGGGACTCCTCGGAGAAGCCTCCGGCTGCCGCCCCCATTGGGACCCCGGGGCCATCCCGGGGCAGCGCCTCCTCCGGCGGGCGAGACCAAAAGCCGGCCAGGCCGCCGCCGCCGCCGCCGCGCTGTCTCCCGCCGCCCTCCGGAGCGCGGCGCCTAATCCGTCCGGCCGCCTGGAACGGCGCGCGTGGATGAGCGAGATAGGGCCGCGCGGCTGTCGCGCACCAGCACTCGCGCACACGCCCTGCGGGAGCCGCGCCGGGCGGGGCCTCCGCCAAACGCCGCGGCAGGTCGCCCCGCTCGGCCATGATGCCGCCCGGCTGAGCGCCCCCAGCCAGCTCGGCCGGCCCCGCCAGCATGCTGCCCACGCAGGAGAGCGGCCCGGCGCCCCGCCGCTCCCGCCCTCGGTGAGTGGACGACGGGAGAGGCCGCCCCCTCCGTGGCGGGGCCGGCGGAGGCTGCCCGCCGGGCGAGCTCCGGGCCCGGTTGGTCGCCTGGCGGGGCTCCGGCTCTCCGCAGGTGCCGCCGGGTCTCGGGTGCCCCTCCCGGCCTGATCGGCGGCAGAGGCGGGCGGGCGGGCGGCGGGGGCCCCGGGCGGAAGAGAAGCGTCCCGAGAGCGACGGGCGCGGCTGGCACGAGCGCCTCCGGCTGGGCTGCCGCTGCCTTGGCTACTCCGACAGCGCCCGGTCCCCAGGCAGCACCGGCGCCGTCCTCGCCCGCCGGAGGAGCCGTGCGGAGCGGGGCAGCGGGAGACGTCGCCGCGCTGGGCGGAGGGGGCGGGCGGGGGCTCGTCCGGGAGGGGCGGAGGACGGCGCGCACGTGTCTCCCTTCCTCCCACTGGCGCCGGGGAAGCGGCAACCATGGCAACGGAGAAGGGCCAGGCCTGCCCGCAAAGGCCCTGCCGCTCTTCTGGGGCCCCGGAGGACCTCTTGGGGCGGCTTTCCTGCCCAGAGCTGCTGGGAGTCCCGGAGGGGGTCTCCCCCTATGAAGCCAGGAAAACAAGGAGGATGGCTGGCGCTGGACCAGTCTGGGGGCAGCTAGCCGCCCCTCATCTCTGCCCCCCCCCGTGGAATGGGAGGCGGCTGTTCTGACCACTCGGGATGCCCAGGGCGAAGTGAGGGCCTGGCGGTGGCTGATGGGCGGCGGTGACCCTTGCTGCAGAGGGAGGAGAATTCCTGGGGAGGCTGGGTGCCCCCAACTCTGACACTGTTTCCCCCCTCCCCACTTGCAGGAGGTGATGTCTGCCCGATGGAAAGAGAAGCCGCCCATGGCTGAGGAGAACTCCAGCGGCAGCAGCGGCTCCCCCACCCCGGGAGACACCCTGCCCTGGAACCTGCCCAAGCATCAGCGCTCCAAGCGGACCAAGGCAGCCGCGGGCGGCAACGGGTCGGTGCTGGACCCTGCAGAGAGGGCGGTTCTCCGCATCGCAGGTAGGCGAGGGCTGGCAAGCGCCGAGGGGGACGTGGGGTCGGCTGCCGACTCTGGTGGCATCTGCTCGCCCTTGCCACCTTGCGCATTGGCCTTGCCGGTTGGGCTCAGGCTTTGGGGTGCGGAGGCCCAGGATGCCTTGTCGACGTGGGCACGGATTGGGCGCCGTGTACTGCAGTGCCAATGCCCTGCCCTGCCGGGTGAGGCTGGTGTGGGCAGGGAAGCCTTAGTTTCCCAGGGTGTTCTTGGCAGAGATCTTTGCCCTCGTTTTCTGGAGGCCCCACTGGGCAGCGGTGTCTGGAGATTGGTGTTTGGCCAAGTCGGGTGGCCGGTTGCGACTCTAAGCCGGAGGCTGATGGCTCCTTGCTCTGGCTTTCAGAGGAGCTTCCTCCATGGCATGGGCTGGAGGATTGGCAGTGCCCAGGGTTGGTGGTTCTTGGGTGCGCTGGCGCAAGTTCTGGATATTACGGCCCTGTTCCCGGCTGACCTTCTGAGCTTTGCTGTGTTGTGGACCTGAGTCTTACCCAGAGGCTTCCCCCCTGAGCCAGGAGGATCGTGGCTGAAAGCAAAGCACGGCGGATTGCTATCAAAATAGGGGGCTGTTGGGAAAGCCCGTTGGCCCAGGCAGCAGGGTTAAGGCCTTGGGTCTGGGCAGGGAGCCAGCTGAGTTGCTGCTGCTGCTAGGGCTGCTTCTTTGGGCTTCTTCTGCCTGCAGTAAAAGACCTTCCAAACCTGCAAGGTCTCAAGTGCTGTCTTGAGTTTCTGGGGAGACCCCCTCCGTGCCCTTCTGACGCCCTGGAAGTTGGTGGGTCTTCGCTGGAGCTGGGCACTGGTGGGCTTTGTGAACCTCCCCTTGCAAAGGGGGACGTTGCTGTTCTCTTACCTGCTGATCTGGGAAGGCCAGAGCACAGCAGACGGCCTCAAGTGGCTCCTTCCTGAAGGACAGATGAAGAGTTACCCCCCCCCAACCCTCCCCCCCTGCAACCTCTTGGCTGCAATTGTCGTCCCAGAGTTTTGGTCCGAGGAGGGCTTGAGTGCTAGTGTTAATTAGGAGACTCTCTTCTCTGAATTTGATTGGCTAATTGCTGGTGACTCTTGGCAGACACAGCCATGGACCCCCTCCAGTGGGATCTGTCAGCTTGCTGCTAGTTGTCCTCTCCAGAGTCCAACTTTAGAGCATCCCAGGAAAAACCACCGGCCTCCTCACTTCTGACCCTCATAGGTGCAGGCAAGCCACGGCACCTGAGTATCTCCTCCAATGATCCAAGATTTCACCAGTTTTGTTGGCATTGAACCAAGGGCTCGTCTGTAATGTATTGCTTGACCGCCGGTGCCTTTACTGTAGAACAGTGTTCCTCAGCCTCGGCAGCTTTAAGATGTGTGGACTTCAACTCCCAGAATTCCTCAGCCAGCATGGGAGTTCACGCATCTTAAAGGAACCCAGCTGTAGATAGTTGGTTGTAAATGCAGACTCTGCCTGCCACTTTAATTCTCATCGTTGCAGTTCTAAGTGATTTTGTGGTTTTTCTCTGTAGATTCCTTTGGCTCTCTGAGCTTGGTTGTTTTCCCGATAGAAGTTTCATTACCCAACTAGGTAACATCATCAGTTTAGAAGGAAGTAGCGTTTGCTCTCTGTTTATATGCAGCATTTTGCTCTGTCAATGTTGGTGGGAATGTAGCTTTCCCTTTGGAAGCTGTTGTGTACTCCCTGATTGTTTGTTGAGTGTTAATCCTGGTGTTAGTTCCTGCTTATCTGGGTGTTGGCTGTGAAAAGGAGGTGTTTGGGTGTTTCTGTTTCCCTTTTAGCCGTTTTATTGTTTCTTTTGAATGTTGTGTAAATGTTTATATGGACTGTTGATTGTTGATTTGTGTGAGTGCCAGGCTTCCAGGAATTCCCTGGCGGTTTGGATTAGCTTGGTTTAAGATGCTCAAAGTTGGGAAAAAAATAAAATAAACATTATATAAGAATTCCAATGCGGTTATCCCCAACAGAAGCTCTAAAATACCCAAACCTACTGGATTAAATAAATAAGATAATTAGATACAAGGAATTAGTAAATGAACAGGGAAATCTGAAAACAAAACAAGAATTGGAACAAGATATAGGCAGAGAGATTGACTGGTGGACATTTACACAAATTCAATCTAAATATACAGAGGACAAAACATATGAAATACAAAAAGAGCCGTAAGAATTGGATAAAATTATACATGGAACAGAAATAAAATTAATTAGCAATGTATATAAATACCTATTGAGATATAAAATGGAAGACGAGGTTGTCAAAGACACAATAATTAGATGGGCAAAAAATTTTGGATATAATATAGAATTGGAGAAATGGGGAAAAATATGGGAAATAAACATAAAATTGACTATGTCAGCGGCATTCAAGGAAAACCAGTTGAAGATGTTTTACAGATGGCATCTTCCACCAGCAAAGCTTCCCAAGATGTTCCAGTACAATTCGCCAACATATTGGAAATGTAAAAAAGTACATGGAACATATTATCATTTATGGTGGACATGCCCAGTTGCAAAAAAATACTGGACTACAATAAGAAGATGGATTGAAGAAATAATAGACCAACCCTTAGACTGGAAACCAGAAATCTTTTTGCTGGGTATTTTAAACAGAAAATATAGTAAAGAAATATGGTACTTAATTTTACATATAACAACGGCAGCAAGAATAGCATACACACAGTTCTGGGAAAATGAGAATATACCTTCAGAGGAAGAAGGGATAAGAAAAATCCTGGACTGTGCTGTGATAGACAAATTAACAAAAGAGATAAAAGAAAAGGAAGACACAGAGTACTATTTAATATGGAACAAGTGGTATGACTGGTTGGAGACTAGAAATAATAGAGGAGAATAAATGTGGAAAGGTCAAAAGTGGAAAATGTGTGTATAATAATGTATAGTAATAATAATATGTATTACTCTTAGTATGAAGTACAGTATGAAGGAAGAAAAATGCAAATAAGAAACAACGGGGCATCAAGGACAAATATTCTAAAGAAGAATAAGGGGGGAGAAATGTAAATAATAGAAGATTACCGTTATGAAATCGCTGTTAAAAAAAGGGGAGGAGTATATGCTGTGTGTGTATGTGTGTTATGTTTTGTTTTGGTTTAAAAAATAAAATAAAATAAGGGATGCTCAAAGTTTCCCAGCTGTAGCGATGGTTGAGTTTGTCCATGTGTTGTGAAATCAGGGAGTTTCCATCATGTCTTCTGACTGCTCCTTGGTGCTCATGGATGCGCTTCCCTGGTCTTCTGCCTGTCTGTCCTACACAACGGCTGTTGCAGTCCTTACACTGTATGCTGCAGACGACCCCCATTTTTTTCTTCGGGGGCTGCTGGGTCTTTTGATTTACTTAGGATGTTTTGGGGGCTTTAGTTGTTTTCGCTGCTATGGTGGTGCTGTGGGGTCGTAATACTCTTGAGAGGTTTTTGATGTGCCATAGTGTTATTGTTTTCGCTGCTTGTGTTAGCTGTGCTGTGGTAGACTAAATGGTCAGGCCTTTTTTGATGAACTTGCATGGATATCCATTTGTAGAAAATTTTGGTTTAGGTCAGGGGTCCACACCCTTTCTTCGTTAGCGGCCTGATGCAGAGGGTAGTGGAGACGCCTTTACGTGCACGAACAGGGCCACGATTGTGTGCGCGATGGAAACAGGGCCACAAGCACCCATGCAATGCTCAAGCGATGCTAGTGCTTGCACGCCACCGCAATGCTAGCGGGAGTGGAGACTGTGCTCATGATGCTAGCTAGCACCTGTACAATCCTCACGATATTGCTAGCGTCCACGCGACACCGCAATGCTAGCATGAGTGGGGCGTGCATGCATGCACACACGGGTGCACTGGCCAGCCACTCAAGTGGCCCAGTGGCCAACAACCCATGGCCCGGTAATGGACCGTGGCCCACAGGTTGGGGACCTCTGGTTTAGGTGATCTGTTTCCATTTTCTGGTGTTCAAGGTTGCTGCCTTTGTGCTCTTCTAAATAGTGCTTCCACACAACTCCTCTTTTGGGAGGATGGGTTGTTGCTTTGTAGTGGAGCACTCGGTTAGCGTGGGTAGTTTTTTCCATAACTTGTGTTTCTAATTTGCTGTCATTTCCTCTGCTGATGAGATGCCTGGGATGGGTGTGTGATGTGGTTTCCTTCTTCCCTTGTCAGTTTTATTCTTTGGAAGATGTCGGTGATTTCATGTGTCTTTTCTGGTTGTTCCTTTTCTATTATGGCAAATGTGTAGTCTACATTCCAGATCGATGCACTTGTGGCTGCATGGGTGGGCCTTCTCTGTCCACAGCAAATTGTTGGCCACGCTGCTTATCCACTAACTAGATTAGGGGTGAACAAGATGGGGGGGGGCTGGGGCTGGGCTTGGAGAGGCAGGGCAGATGCCTGCCTTTGTAGACAGCGGAACAATGACAGCTGGAGGGTGACATTTCCTCCCCAAACTGGCCCAGAGGTCAAAGGTTAATGTCTTCATTCCTGGGTCAGAGTGGACATAGAGAGGGGTCAACAGGATCAATCTTTCCACCATTTCATAGCCAGGCGTGACCTGCTGCTTAAATTGCATCTACTTTTAAGCGTGGATCTTTTCCTCCGAGGGATGGGGCTCCTTTCTGCCTGCCCAGCAACCTAAAGGCAAAGTCACAGAGTTTCTTGGTTGCTATTTTAATGTTATTTATGTTTAGAATTCACGACACTCTTTTTATTGTTTTAATTGCCAGTCACCCAGAGCTGTGTACAGTATAGGAGATGGACAGCCATTTAAATTGATAAATAAAGAACTCCTACATGATCCTTCAGTCAAGGCCTCTGTTCACCTTCTTGCAGGGGTGCAAAATATCCCTTGCAATGCTGCTTCCCTCCTCCCCATAATCAGAATAGAGCTGGAAGGGACCTTGGAGGTCTTCTAGTCCAACCCCTGCTCGAGCAGGAGACCCTACACCATTCCGAACAAATCACTGTCCAGTCTCTTCTT